ACAATATTATTCAACTTATTAAAATAGTATTATGCGTAATTAGTAACTAGATAATTTTGGAAAAAAGTAATAAAGATATCTACGTTATAAAAAAATAAGTTCATTTTAAATCTATATTAAGAATTATATTACTCTATTAATATTATTATTTTTAGATCCGATTGTACCTCAAATTTTTTCATATCTTGCTGAGCATAAAAAATTGAATCATTATTTGCATTCGTCGCAAAAAAATTTAAGCAATAATATTAGTCAGATCATATATTGCCAAATCGATTAATGAATATTGTAATTGCATATTTACTATGTATTATTTCTTAAAGATTAACGCAATAATAATAAAATGCTTATGATGATGCTTTATAGAAGTATAAATGCATATTCATAACGCTTTATGGCGTTTATTTTCTATAACTGATTATCGAGAAATAAAAATTATTTTTTATTGAATAAGAAGCATTTATTATGTAGAATACAAATAATATCTTTTTAAATAACTGGTGGAATGTCCTAGTACGAAAAGCAATAGATTATTTTTTTAATAGCTTTCTCTACAAAATAAAATTTGAATCTGACGAATTTTGAAATACGTTAATTCAAAAAATAATGAATTGAAAGTTCTCGGCATAAAAAATCAAAATTTTTTCTAATACAATCTACATTATGTAAACTCTATTATCAGGTAAATAAAACACATAGAAGTGTTCGATGACTTGTACATTTATCATATCATACTTTCATGATTCAACATCTTAAAGATATCTTAAAGATAATATCTCAATGTGTTGTCTTATTATAGAGTCGCATTTAGTTAAAAAGGTAATAAAAAGGTGTATTTTTAAAACTTAACGGAAACTACCATAGATACTTTATTAGTAATATTGATAGTAGGTAATCTAAGGCGCAAAAGTTTTTATATAAATGATCTATTTTCAATAAATCAATTTAATCATTTCATTTAAGACCATGTCGTTGATAAAAATATTCAACATTAAACAATAACATTAAATTTTTGAATGAAATTCATAAACAATTCATAAGGACATCTACACTGATTATTTTAAGTAGTTTTTTGCATGCATTTTTTTAAATAATAGTTGTTATAAATATTTAAAATAAATTGGCATGTTTGCTGAAATTGTAAAAAATACTAATCAGATAGGGAGCAAAAATAGAGCTAAATTTGCAACACTAAAAATATCTAATATTGGATGCTCTCAAACCATAAACTAGTATCATTTTGCTAATCAATTATATATTATTGTACATAAATACATTCCCGTCAACGTTCGACTATAGATACAGTGGCCGGTTAAATCATCGCATATATTTAACCACGCAAATACAAATATGACATCAGCATGCTTGTTGAACACACAAAATAGCAAACACACTCACCTAGCAAAATCCAAAAAATAATAATAATATTATATCAATCCGTCGTTCCCAGCCGGCAGCAATACTCCTCCACATAGAAACATGTCATATACGCACGAAGCAGACCTGACTATATAATTCTAAATGATGTCATCGACATTAAACATATACAGACAACATGTCTTCCTAGTCGGAAATAATCCAGAAATCCCAAAAAAGAAAGAAAACTTCAACCGTCAACACAACACTTCAGTTGGTCTTACAAAAAGACCATCATTCAAAGCACCCATTGCCCAAACGACAATTTTCACTTCGAAACTTCCTCCAGTTTCCGGGGTCGATGCTTCGCCAACGGAACTTCGAGCGCGCGGATTTCAAAAACGCGGTTTTGTGCTTTGAATTAAGAATAAAGAACAAGTATTTCTATTATCTCGTTTTCGCTATAAGACCGTTTTATCTATGCGAATCCGATGCTATTTCGCCGAAGCTGAAGCCTTGACTGACTTGAACCGTTGAATTGGATGTACTGGCCTGGCGATGAGTCACTACGGCGGGATAGCGCGCCTATGTGCGTGTATGAACGCCGAGTATAGTGCACAAATAATACACAACTTTTGTGATATGTGTACTGTGCACAGTCAAAGTATTAGAGTCTTGTGCGATAGGTATAAAATACGTAAAAAGAAAAAACTCTTAACTCAGCACATAAGCGCAGAACTATTGTCAGCGAACGATAGCGATTTCTGGTTTCAAATGAGCGCGCTCTGGGAAAAAAGTTGCTTTTTCCGGCGCGCGTCTGCAATCAGGAGCTGATAGAGAGTTTGCGGTCATCGTTTTCGGCTTTTATGCGGTTTTTGATAAAGAATGAATAATGAATGAATTGAAATCAATTAGGAAAACCATTTCCGTTGATATGCTGCACAAATCGTAACAAATAAAAACAAAATAAGAGGTGAAAACAATTATCAGACATTTGCGATGAGCTGCTATCAAAACATGTGCATGGATTCGTCATATCCCAATCGTAAGTCAAAAACAACATAAAATCGGAAAATTGCTATTGACTATAATAATTAATATATATCTATAGGACAGTAATTTATATATTTTTATAGAATATATAAGACTGTTATAGTAATAATATAAACCAGGAGAAGTAAATTTGCTTCAATTGTAATGAGAATTTTCTAGATTTTCCGTACCTTACTGAAGCGAAATTAGCAGTTTTAGAATTTGATTTCATATAGTCAATTATATCACATAGTCGAAAAACGACTGCTCACCAAAATATAAAATAGACACTTAATTGTTTATTTTAACCCTACTGCACCCAAATATGTCTCAAATTTGGCTGCCAAGACTCCAAAATATATTCAATAACAGAAGAAACCAGAAAACTTGCATCCAAGTACAAGACAAGACTGAAAAACCATCCGAATCAACATGCAAAGACTTGTTTTGCTCAAATACCCCCAGAAGACTTAACAGAATAAACCAGTTAGATTTGGCACAGTCAAAATTAATATTTTTTCGATATTTTCTTCCCATCTATTTTTCAAAGTAAAAATGACTACAATTGGATAGCATTTTAAAACATTATATTGCACATTAGTCACCAAAATTTCTGAATGTCTTGCCTAGAGGTATGTAATCATATAGAAATAAAAAAAAACAAATTTCCTTTACAATTTATCAAAACCAATAAATTTTTGGCAAAAAGGTACTGATAGTATTATATACTATTATACTATAAGTACTATTAGTACCTTAGTATATTATATTATTAGTTCCTTTTGGTCAAAAAAAATTGATTTGTTTTGCAAATAAAATATATGTATCAGAGATCTATCAAGATTTATTAAGACTCCACTGCACCTTAAATGTTTCTGGTAAAGTTTTACATACTATTAGCCTCAAGTTTATTAAAGATTATTACAAACAATCATATAGAAAACTATAAAACTAGTGTCTATTATAATTACAATCTCTATAAATCCAAAACAGCAATAAATGTGTCATATCAATAATCACTGTCACATAAAAATCACTTCGCTACCGTAACTTTCATCACCGTAAACGCACCGAGAAAGCTCCAAATACATTGAATCGTAAATTTATTTATAAAAATACAAATGATTATTAAATCGACATCAAACAGAAAGCGAGCTTAGATCGTTAAGTTCATTGGAACGTAACACGAGCCAATTTCTCCATCGACACATTAAGACTAAATAAATAATAAAGTGGAGTGACTAATCGCCATTGTAAAAACAATAAATGAAGGCGTCGCGAAAATATTATTGACGAGCCGGCGATGCAAATTTGCAAATAAGATATTAATTGGAGATGAAGATCCTGTTGCAAAAAATAATCTTAAATAATAGATCAAGTAGGCGACCACGGGATCGAAATCAGAATCGCACATTCAACGACTGCCTTTTGTACTAATTATATAATTTTGGGTTGAACAAGGTAGGAGAGCAAGTATATGCAAAAAATAAAACTAGCAGGTTTAAATGAAAAAAGGTAAAGAGCATTAATTACATAAGTCCACAAAATAAAAAAGTTGCCTCCTAGAAACACCATATTGAAGAATTTACATCAGGGGGATTCCATTAATCACGTGAGCAAGTTTTTAAGGATTTTTGGACCCCTTTCCCCCTTGGTGATACGTGGTGATATTCAATCACGTGTATTTTTAGTTGCGTGAAAAACCTAAGTTTTTGATTTTTTTTGAAAATGTTTGAATTTTTCAAAAAAAAAAATCGGTTAAAAAATAAATACACGTGATATCTTATCATACCCCTCCCTCCCTCACGTGATATTTCGTGATTTTTTGTCAAACCATTTATTACCATCGTCATCATTTAGGTAAATTTGTATATCTTTCTCGCCAGTCGGAGGCAATGCGTACAGTTTGCGGTTTCGTACGATTCCAAGAAAATTGGATCGTTTTCTGCGAAGCCAGAAATCTTATCAAGTTCAACACAATCGAAAATACGCCTGATAATAGTTCAAAACTGGCAATTAAAATTACAAACGTCATTGATAATGTTCAATTTACGTCAATGAAAATGTTTTGTTTCCTGATGTATGATAATTTAAAATACGCAAACTATAAACAGTACTAGTTTACATGGTGCTTGCCCTTGACATCAAATGGAAAATGGTTAAAAAACTAATTTGGCACGTTTCAAAAGAAAAAAAGACTAAAATGGATTACTTAGCATTTTTCTGGTTTGGCAAAAGATGAAAAAAAATTTTTGAATGTGAAAATTTTTGAATCCTTAACAAACTATCTTTATACCTTCCTAGAATTTGATTCCAAATTCACATATATTTCAAGTATTCTATTCCTAAATTTAATGCTTTTTAAATACACCTATATAATTCAGCTATTCATAATACATCATTACTAAAACAATGATTTGCCATGTGAACAAGTTAATTCTTCTATTGATTTGCCATATGAACAAGTTAATTCTTTATTTATTCCTATTAAATTAGTGTTCCTTAATTTAGGTTTAATAATTACTTAGTATTGTATTAAGCTATTTTACTCATTTTATTTTTCCCTTTGGAACTATGTGATAAAATAAATAAATAATTAGAAAGCTTCCTACCTTGAGTGCTACGCCTCCTGAATTTTCCAATAGCCCTCGCGACCATATCAGATTTTCTTTTTCTTGTAAAATCTGTTGAAGAAAATGGTTTTCCTCCATTTGTTATAGAAGGATCAACGTTGTTGTTATAAGTATCTAGACAAGGCATCGACATCTGAAAATAAAAAAATAAATCAATTATTTAATAATACTTGCCCTAAAAATTATTGATTAAAGTACTTTCTTTGTATAATTTCTACGGTACTACCTATGTTTAAAAATACTTATATTTTTTCAATTTTCAATATAATGAAAAATTCAATCCCATAATATTGGAAATAAATTAATTAACATCCTCATACTAAAGGTTAAGAACATTAAACAAATTATCTGCTTCAGTGTTACGTCTGACGTTATGTTACTAATTAATGCTAAAAATTATTATTAAGTAGTTCTTCATCGCAAATACATGTAAAATCAAACAAAACACAATCATGAGTTATAAATTTTGCTCAAAATTAGATTTCGTTATAAATTTTAGGCAATATGTCAAAACGATACGGTTTATATGTTACATGGATAATCTTTTCAGCGATTTTTATTAAAATTAATTTTCATCTCGATGAAAATTTCGCCAATGGTAATCGTTTATTGATCAATGACATTTTACATGAAATATGGATACGTGTCAATTCCCCAAATGGTCCTTGGAGCTTCCTTTTAATTTGGTTAGCTTATAGGTGCTGGCATATCCAAAAAATAACAGAAATTGGGAATTACTATTTAACAGAGATTGCAAACAATTCAGTTGTGTTATCACCTAAAGAAAGGCCGAAAAAGGCTAATATGAAATCAAAAGGCAGGAAAGAGGTCAAAGAATATGTTACGAAATGGATGGAATACTCTCATCAAAAAAGCAAGTTAGGACCGCCAAAATCCGTGATCAAACCCAAGGAACTTGTGTCAAAAATCAAGGAGGACACTTCTGTGTTTGTTAACAGAAATGGCACAGTATCAATATGTACTGATTATGGGGATCATGAAATTATACCAGAAGTCGTAATGGTGGAAGCGATTAAAGGATCGAAATTATCCTGTACCGATAAAGAACTTTTGGTTAATGAACAACTTTTGAAGCTTAGTAGAATATATGCGAGCTTGCGAAAATTAGCCCAAATTTCGCAATTACAAAATATTAAAATACAGCAGCTACTAGCCAAAAAGAATAACTAGAATAAAAAGACTTACTGCGGAAAGTAGCAGGATTAATTCTTACATGAGGTTAGAAATACAAAGATTATAATAATGGAAAATACTAAACTATTATTGAAAATAATTATATGTCTTTTGTAGCTAATTTGTACGTTTTTCTTTAATATCTATAGTTAATGTTTATGGAAATAAAATTGTTTCATGGAAAAATAATTGTCTCAATGCATATGCAATAATAAGTAATTTTGAAAGTAAATATAAATTATCAAATTAAAGTTCTGAAAGGGTATTTAGTTTTAAGCCTTTTCGATTTAGATATGAAGTAACATTGCCCATATATTTCTTTTATATTAACTAAACCTTGTGCACTCTTTGGCAATATTCAGGTTTTAAGTGAAACTACTCATTTCCATTCTTGACTAACCAAACTATGGTCTATACAATATCGTAGCAAACGAAACTTTATTTCTGATAGGTTGCAAACCCCTGTCCCAGAACAGCTTGCCGTGTCGCATCGTTTCCGAAAATAATTTGTATGTGTACAAAACTCATCATGCATATATTCGATCCATGATATTGATATTGATATCATTATGTACCAAGTAAACAAGGTATTACTGACAAAGCAATTTAACCATTATTACGTTATATAATGTTTTTATATACAATATTTCGATGTGTGCTCATTAGAATAAATTATAAATATGTTTCTAGGACACATATTTTTTTGAATTATTCATGGGTTACCAGAATCGTAAGTATAAATATATGGTTTCCTCATTAAGTACTGGGAAAATATTAGTCAAATTAGTGTGGAGATAAATTTTCATATTTAATTTAAGAATAAGGTTTATAAAATTGAAGAAGTTCTATAAAAATATCACTAAAATGTTGTATATATTTTGAAAATCAAATATCGCCCTAGGTCTCTCCTGCATTGAGTGAAATCAAAATTTTTTTCATTTTTTTATCAAATTTTGAAATATATTTTTGATTAATTTTTGAATACCTTATAAGAGTTTTCTGTATTTTTATTGCTATTTTAAAGAACTAAAAAAATATTCGAATATCGAATAAATTCATCATTTAACAATTTGGCTTATTATAAATAAGGAATTTCTCAAAAATATTTTCTGATCAAACTTTAAAATACATTTTTGATTGAGTTTTGAATACCTTAAGGTATTCTCCTATAATTAATAAGAGCTTAATGTATTTTGATTACTATTCTAAAGAAATAAAAAAAAATTGAATATCGAATAAATTCATCATTTCACAATTTGAGTTATCATTAATAAGGGATTTCTGAAAAAACATATAATGATCTAAAAATCTAATTGAAATGTATATTTTCTGACAATATATTTGGTGTCAGTCCTTTATTTTTAATTATTTGAGTTTTATTAAGAAATCTACGTTATTGTGAGATATCCTTATCGTTTTTAATAAAAATTAGCACCTTGTGCATTTTATTTGAACAAATAATTTTGAAAATGCCAAGAGTTGAATTATGATAAAGTGTTAAATTGCAAAAATGTGAGGCTCATGAGCACAAATGTTAATTAAATTTATGATTTTATTTAAAATAATACAAAAATAATAATTAACTGAGCAATAATAAATTCCTTAAAATATAATAATATAAATTAAAAGTAATTGGAATTGGATAAATTTTAAAGCATCATAAATACCTTTAACTCAATATATTTACATATATAACTACAATAATAAGAAATAGTAATTTTGCATAAATTTTAATATGAAAATCAGAAGTCTTGTAATTATACGTTTATATTTATTTAAAAAATAGACAATTTTTTTTTTAAACGTACACAAAATTTCGTTTAGATTTACTTTAGCACATATCCCATAAACGAGTAAAAATATAAATCAGCCTAAAATAGAACGGTGAAACATTACTAGAAAATTTACTGAACACGTGATAAGTGTTAGTTTAGTTCAGTACACTATAATTAACCAAAAAAGTATTTTTACAATTTAATTAATTACAGATAAATACATCACCTTGTATAGACTAAAACTTAACAATTAAAACAGTACAGCACAAAATCACAACAAAACAATTAGCAACATCCACACTTTAAAACCTTTGCAACTAAATAACTAATAACTTCACTAAAACAAAAGTAAAAACTATCCACATTGAAAATGCAATAAATATCATAAAGAAAAATCACTTTCCGTCCTGTTTCCTTCGAAGCCAAACGAGCATTTACCAAAGTACGTTTGTAATACCGAAAATATACTCCAGAATGAAAACGGTTCGATACAAAACTACGCTCGGAACGCTTATAGCACGGGTGGTCATCAAATATAAATATAAAAGACACATGAGTAAGTGTTTTATGAATAGGTGTTACTCAGGTAGGCCTACGGATTTGTTGGCTTTATGACTCGGAAGTCGGAATTACTGACACTTGGTGGGAATATAGACGATGTCGATTATTATGCGGAAATGTAGTACCTACAAGATATTTTATCACCAGCCTATTGAATATTAATAAACCAGCAAGAGCTGAAACACTCTTTGTTTTTACATCTACAACTGTTGGCTAAAAAGTAGGAAAAAGTCTATAATTATATCACTTTTTACAGGTTTTCTTATTTTTAGTTCAACTAGTTATTCATTATTTATTAATATTTAATTTAAATATTTAATACCTATCAAAATTATCTAAAGAACATAAATTTTCAAACAATAACCATTTTGTAATCAAGGCTAGTATTCTACCTTAAATTACATATCTTTAATAATATAATTGCAATACAATAATTAATACTAATTTTGCTACTAATTATGTGCCAACTTCTACTATAAAATTGTATTACATTTTTATTTAATTTAGGAGCCACAAAGGATTAAGAAGAATCCAAAAACCACTGTAATCAAATCTTCTACTGAAGGAAATCAGAAATAATCCATCCAAATAAAATACGATTGGGCAGATTTTTGAAAAGCCAACCAATTTATTGACCCCGACACGATAAATCCATCAATTGCAAGAACAAAATTGAGGACTACGAAAGGCGCTGATCAAGGCACCACTTCGGTTGATTTATTTATCAAATTAAATACTTATGGATGTATTAAAATATTACAAAATTTCATGACTTATCATAAAAAAGCCATATTTATTGAATAGTAATTAGATTGTCATAGTTCAATGATCTTTTGTGATCAATACTCTATTTGACAACATAACTTTTTAGGAAGCAACGAGTTGTATCATTAAAAAATTTCCAATACCGATGATTTTGAATTTGATGCATTCACTCATGATCCCAAGAAGAGCTCTTTTCTCTTAAAAACATCTTCCCATCTTTATTTTCGAATGAAAACGGATATCACTACTGCTTTGCAAAGCTTCTGACCATCTGGCCCATAAAAAAGCTCATCATAACAATGTATAAAAAAATCTAATAGGTGTAGATTTGAAGAAATGTTCATATTTAAAAACCGTTCCATTTCTTTCAGATTGTCTTCAGTGTAATTTTTAATCAAAACTAAAATCCAAAAGGTTTGGAGGTTCAGCTTGAACAGAGGTTTTTATTCAGGAAACATTAGTAATGTGATTGTATAGATATTTCTCTGTTTATCTCTATTGTCTTGAACAAGGGCCATTTTCACATATTTGAGAGCAATGCCAAGATATACCAATTCTGCTCCATTTTGATGTTATCATAAAATTCTTATTATTCAGAGACCCAAGTTACGCTACAAACACCTGTTTGCTATCCAATTTAACGCGATTCTTTAGAAATATTTCTATTTATCTCCATTATCCTAATTATTGGCTATTTCTACATATCTTAGAGCAATGTGTTCGTAGTCATCTAGATAGACCAATTTTAATACTTGGATGCATTCTGATATTATAAAGTTCTTATTATTATTACCCCATTCTGCAGTTCAAACCAGAAACGTTTACACCAGCATTACAAAAATTGTAATAATAAATTTATCACATATAGCATTGAAGGCCTATCATTTGAGTTATCTTTTAAAAAAGCGACGTAGTTAAGTAAATCACCATAAATTCTTATAGGATCCTTAATTTCTGGTGGCTGCTCAAATAAGTAAAAAAGGGTTAGTGACTAAGGGTCACGTCTAACATTTTTTGAAGTAATGCTTATAGGGACTGAAAATTTTATCTGTGGAAAACATTAAGCTACAAATGAAAGATCCAATGACCGGTACCATTTTCCTTAATAAAATAAAATAATTTTCCTCCACTGTTATTCGTCAACATAGTAACACAGTTGAATAGCGCATAGCAGTATCTTCGAATCGAACTTTGTAGGTAATAGGTATAAATATAGACATAAAATAATGTTCATGTAGAAGAAGCAACGTTTGCTGCATTCAATATGTCGACACCTCTATTTTTACTTCAGTGTTTGCTCCACGTTCGATATTTAAAAGGTTAATCCAGCGAAATTGACGTCATGCCCTAATATGACATATTGTACTGGGTCACAGCACTTGCTAAGAAATTGATTTTAGGTAAAAGACTCTAAGGAAGGAAATAGATATTGGGAAATATAGATATGGTATTTATAAAAAATATCAATGGGGTTAAATATCATGTTAAAAACTATAAGATGTATGCCATAAAACGTAACTTTTGCAAAAAAATATTCTCAGTACAATACTGGGTGACTACACGTAATTGATTTTATATAAAATACCTTAGAAAATCGAAATTTTGAAATATGTTATTTACGAAAGTCTTGAGATTCATTTTTATGTTGGAAAGTATAAGGTAATAAAACCATGCGAAATGTATGTATATACATAACTTTAGTAAAAAATAAAAAAAAATTAGTTGCTATTTTTTTTGGGGTGGGGGGGTAGCCCACTGGGGTGACCTCCACTAAGTCATGCATGTAGTACTATTACTGGAATTCTAATATAAAACTAATAGCTTATAGTTTTTTTAATTTTCTGTTTGCTATTTATTTATTGTTTAAAAAATATATTATTTATTCTAATAGTAGGTAGATAGCATCGAAAAACATAGAATGACATAAGCTTCAGATAAGCTTTGTTTAGAAGTGCAATTATTTAGAGCGATGACTTAACGCAAATGACATCACAAAAATATTTGTTAATTACGTTTAGTTTTTGCGTAGAATAAAATAAGTTAAAGTACTTTACCCTTGGCTTTAATGAGACCACTTTAAATTTGTTAAATGCAGAAGGTATTTAAAAAACCAGTCGTAGTTGATTGTATAACTAACTAGTTAGTAGATAAAAAAATACAGGAAAGAGGTTCCTTATTTGAGTTCAAAAATTATAACTAATAAAATTAATTCCACCAAGAAATTTTTTTACATGAATTGTGATTTACGATACTACAACTAATTCTATCCTGTAATTTTTTATAATTTTATAGGTTGTCTATCCCTGATCAAGCCTTCTTCTTAAATGCTATATTTGGCGTTGCCAATATGAACAATGTTTTCAAATAAAATGTAGCATCTTAAGTGTATTTATAACTTTGGCAAAAGCATCATATTCATTTTTGGGACATTACACATTCGATGATCTAAATTTAATCAAAATATCATTCCACAAACATTCATACTATAACTGTGTGTTCTTGGATAAAAAATATTTACATATCATAAAACATTGGGGAATAAAGCTTGGCTTGGTCAACAAAAAAATGACTTGGACCACTCTCTTGAGATGAATATTTAGTGCATTAATTATGCAAAAATATTATATATCATAAAGTGACAACAAGACCTTTATAATAAAATACTATGAAATATTTGAGGTACTATATAGTTGAAATACTATGTCAACAAAACCTTTGAAGAATAGTTTCAGTTAAATTCAAGTAATCAGAAATTTAGTAATTGCATCCAAAGTTGTTTGCTTGAAGTAGTTTCTGGTCAAAAGCATCTCGAATTGTGCAATACAATAGATAATATAAACATATATCTCAAATATAAAAAATATAACGTTTGGCTTAAAAATAAACACTTTGCAAAAAATGATTGAAAATCATATCACCTGATACCTACTTTTCTTTTATAACAATATCCAAAATTTTAGATTTTATAGATTTTTTAAGTAAAGTCTCAAAATTGACAAGTAAAGTCAAAATTTTTTTTTCTGGGTTATGAAAAACAGGAACAACTGTAGAGAAGAGAATAAGGCAACTAAAATGAATGAACTATACCATAAACTGCACCAGGTTCATCATCTAAACATTGTATTATATAAAACAAACGAAAATTTATAACAAAACGTCAATAAATAACTATGTATTATAAAATGCAATATCTACTTGTATTTATAAAATGCATAAACGAAATAAGAAACATAAATGCCACAAGTGCTTCAGATTTATCACATGCAACCAATGTTCTAAAAAAAGCAAGGAATCAAATGAATCTATCACAAGTCCTGGTGTATCAGAAAATTTTCAAGAAAAAAAATTGGAAAATTCTGATGATTTCCAACCCATTGTCACACCAAAACCTGATGAAATCCGATTGAAAAATGTATTGCAATGCTCGAAATATAAATTAGAAGCCATGAAATACTTAGTTTTATCTAAAGATGAAGAAGAGCGGCTTTTGGCTATGGATTATTTAGCTGGAGACGTGATTACATCAAACTGGGATCAACCTGAAGTGAATTTTTTTCCTGGCATGGTAAAAGAACAACGGAAATTTATACCGGAGGATACTTTAGAAGAAATGAAAAATCTGATCAATTTTATAGCAGCTGACGAAGGCGCTGAAGAAGATTTTGAAAGTGAACTTAAAGCAACGCATACATTGGAAAACATTGACCTAATTATTAGTAATTTCAATTATACAAGTTTACTTCTGGATAAGTTTGTTGGCCCACAAAGTAAAATTCCAGTGATACAAGTTTCGAACCCACAACAAAGCACAGGATTTGAAATAAATCCAGAAGTAAAACATTCTCAGGTGAAAGTAGAACAATCTTTTGAGCCAAATCTGATATCAAATAGAAAATTTGTACCTGACATATCAAAACCAAAGCCTTTACGACGTAGACGTACTGTAGCCACTCAAACTATCCATCCAGAATTGATGGAAATGATTATAAGCATTCTCACTGATCCTTTAGGAATTGACAAATTTAAAGAATCATATAAAAAACTTTGTCAACATCGTACTTCTCCCAAAAATCTTGGTGAAAATACGAGAATTAATAAATGTTCTGTTGCTTCACAAACTGTTGTAGAAATGATCTACGATAATCGTTGTAGATTCAACAGTATATCTGCAACACCGAAGAGAAAAATGGAAGATATTTTAAAATCTTCACAAAAAATACCTAAGTCAACTGCAAATTTAAAACGACCTCAAATTCATTTCAAAATTGATAATGTCCCTGAAAAAATTGGCAAAAATAAAGCTGGAAACGAGTTTCGAAAAAATGCTAGTACTCAAATTTACAAGAAAAAAGCTGAACAAAAGGAAGCCAGTACCCAAGTTAGGTTAATAAGAAAGATTGGAATTCGAAGATCCCCAAATTATACATATAATAAAGTAGGCATACCTAAAATTACAACTAATCCAGAAAGTCCACAACATGTCATAAGACACGTCCAATTTACCTCTAAACCTTTATTGATTGATAGCAATTGTAGGAATTCTGGTAGAACATTAAATCCTGAAAGTCCACAAAATATCGTAAGACACGTCCAATATTCCTTTAAACCTTCATTGATTGATGACAATTGTATAAATTTTGGTAAAACCCTAAGTCGCAGCCTTCCAAAATCGGATTTAACTAAATCTGATGAATTGGATTCACACAGTTTGATGAATGATGACGAGAAATTAAAATATATCAAAAGAAAAAGGAGAAAAAAATAAAAATAATAATGGATAGTTTGATATAACTTTTTACATAGGAATTTGAATTATATTATTCAATTGATATTGCAATGCAATAAATTGATATCTATTGGTGCCATTTTACCTTATCAGTTTCGAAACTATAAAATTAACCTCGATGATATTATAAAATCGATTGCATTAATTAAGTTTTAGATAAGTTTATATTAAATGTGAGAATTGTGTGATAATCTGTTAGTGTATTATTAACGTTGGACTCAAAGTAAAACTATTTAAGGAATAAATAGAAAATTGTAATATTTGTTCATTATTAGTTGAACGATAATCTGTCTGCAGGTAAAATAAAGAAAATAATCACTTAAGCTAGTTTTTTTTTCTCTTCATAACATTCAAATATTTGGATTTGGATTCTGTAGATCATTTGTTAATATTTTATTGTTCATTTCATATATGATTGTGACCAAAAAAGTTCTTTTATAGACATTCATCCAGTTATTACAAATGCAAAACTACTTTAGGTTAAGATAATAAAGTCTTCCCTACGTTTTGATAGTTTCTTCTAAATTCTAAAAAATTAAATATATAAGTTCATAAAAAACCGTAAAATAACTTTTTTGGATATATATATATATATATATATATATAGGTAATAGTATGTGTGACTATATTATGAATGTCAGTTCAAGTATGTCTGTACTTCTAGTTAATTTCACAATATAATTAATCTTTGTAACCAAAAGATATTATCGCATTTTTACGTGAAATAATGCACGTAATATTTTGCAACAGTTCTATAACATTTATGTATCCTTCATTATAATCCGTATCAGTAATAATTATCTATCACAATAAATTGTACCTTACAAAATAAAATCATTCAATTAATTTTAACCCGTTTACGATACTTGACATGTTCCAGAGTTGCTAAAAATGACTTCTAGAGTTGTGATATTATTATTTTTAATTTGGGGCTCTTCATCGGGTAAGAAAAAATATATAATTATAATTTAATTGTGTTCACCTCTAGTCTATTATCAATTTAAATTCTTCAAAATGTCTTCAGAACTTTTGGAAGAAAAAAAGCCTGAACCAATACTCAAAGAAGCCAAATGGGGAAGTACTATATCAGTTGAGACCATGGATGATTATTACACAAATGATTTTTTACGTTGTACAATACAACTTCCTCCACATATGGGCCTTTCTACCGATGAATTAGAATTTAAACCTAAACGTGACGAAAAGTTGCCAAAACATGTTGGACTAGCTTTGCTTTCATCAGGATGCACCATTCAAATTTCTGATACAACTGAGAATGATATAGGAAACTGGACAATGCGTTCTTATATCCATAGTGTTAAAGATGAATATAAGGTAGAACCAAATCTGGTGATTGTACAAGATTTTAGTGTAAGAATAGGTAAGGATAATGATAAAAATAATCAAAACCAAAGATTACTAATGGTTTACATATTGGCTTCTTCCGCAATTTTTGAAATGATCCATTGTTACCCAATATTTAGTAAAAGAAGTAGAAAGCATTCCATCCCGACAATTGATCATTATGGAAAAAAGCGATCTTATGATGCGACTGAAAGAACCTATTCCAAATATGACCTCCTGTTCAATTATAAACCCTGATAGACAAATTGTGCACCTTTGGAAACTAGAGAAAAATGAGAAAATTACATCTGGATCGAAATCAACAGGTAAGAATTTGAGTAAAAATGACAAACAAGAAAAAAGACTAGTTTTTGGTAAAGATCAGTCAGGCCAGGATCGTAATTATTTATTGCAAAACAGTTTAATCATAAAATTTTATCCAAATTTTTAATAAGAGACAGTACCAAAATTTTAACATTCCATCGTCACAATCTCGTAAGTTGCTACATCTCAATTCTTGTTAATTAAGTCGATTATATTGCCTTAAGACAAAATGCCACTTTACCAATGTTTCAAACGTTTCATAAAATTTTAGATCCAAAAGTCGAATTTTGGGGATCTTCAAGTAAAGATCAATGTGGTGCCATTGTACGTGAAATAAAAAATGATACAGCATCAGGAAAGTGGACTATTGAAGCTTTTGATAAAGAAGGCACTTTATACAGAAGCATAATTGAAGTTGAAATTTGTAAGTAATAATTGATCCAAAATCGCAGCAAAAACCTTTGTAAATATTATAATAAATAATTATTGTTTTGTAGTTATAGAAACTCTTTAGAGAACCAATCTCCAGAACAATATTATTTAACATTAGGTGAAAATAAAACCATTCACCTAACACCAGAAGATGCAATTTGGTGCAGAGCCAAATCGATGGATTCCGACAAAAATGAATATTGCAATATTGAATTTAAACCAGTTAAAAAAAGTGATGCCAAAAAATGGCACATTTCTTGGTTCACCTCTGCATCTAGCAAAATTATTGAAAAAGATGTGGAAATTATAGTCAGGGGTATATAAATAAAAATATAAAACCCATAATTGTTGTAACATGTTTAAAATTAAAATTTCAATTTCTTTCAAGAACCTCGATTCATTGAAACATCAGTAGAAGAATCGGAAAATAAAAACAGCTATAATCTTATGTGTCGTATTAAATCAGAGGTAACTACTATCAATTGAAATAATATTAAAAATAATTTCTTACAATTATATGTCTTTTTATTACCCAGGGTATTCAACACTGTATATTTGAAAGGCCTGATGGAAAAATTCTGAATTTGAAACCAGGAATAGGGCTTGGTCGTTATAGTTACTATGGTGATGGATTTTCAACTTCAAGTTATAAAGAAACTATTAATGAATGTGGTTTGACAATTAGTAATGCAGAAAAAGAAGATTTTGGAATTTGGAAATGTTTTTTGAAAGATGCTGATAAAAAGAAAAATCAGGCAGCAGATGTGTCATATTTAAAAGTGGGAGAAGAAATAGGTAATACCATGAACAATTTAATATTATTAACTAAAAATTATTGATTGCGTGGTAGGAAATAAGTAGAAAATCACCTTTAGTCTACGATTTTTCTGATTTTTTTGGTTTCTCCATGTTATTAAATTTCCGTAGGGTAAGTTATAGTAATTGCTAAAAAAAGTGAAAATAATTTTGTTTAACGTAAGTGTTCGTATGTGTGTGCGGATACAAATTTTCGTCGACGATTTCGGGAACACAGTTCAACCGATTTGAATGATTAGATGAACATTCGATTCCTATTGATAAGGAGACGTAGTCATTAGATTTTGGGAAAGGCAGGTCTAATCATTCTGAAAATTCGGGGCTAAAAGTGCCAAAAACGGCAATTCAGTTTTTAGGAGAACGAAACATCCGATTTCAATAATTCAAAAAACAATTTGAAGAAGTGATTGACTTTTTGGGAAGGCAGGTCTAGCGGTTTCAGAGATCGATTAAAAAAAGTAAGAAAAAATGCCATTTGGTGGTCAAAAATTATCATTAGACATATGCACAACAAATTATCAGATATTTTATCAAGATCTTAATAATAAATATAGATTTTGTTTACATTTCAATGGGTTCCGTACCAATGTTAATCAGTTCGACCGCTTCGGAAATTTGACATTTCGTCGACGTATACCCAAAAACTGAACCGCGATTTAAGAAATATTTAAGACTTTTGATGAAACGATAAGTAATCGCGTTGATTAATTTCGCAAGACAAGTGCAAAATTGTCATAAACATTTTCCCAAACATGTACAAGTCTGGTATAACACATATAAATTTGTTTACAAAACATGCAATAAGAAGTATAGAGAAAACTGTCATCTTGTTTCTTTATATATTGAGTTTGTATATTGTATTGTATTGGGAGTAATCCTGTACTACAAGATTACTCCCTTCCCTGTACCAATAAATACTTAATTCATAACATACTATACTGAAACTTACCTTGATGATATTACTGACACCATTTATCTCCAACAGCCGTTGAAAATATCCCGCACACTGACCACAAGAGAATTGAAACATCTGTTTCTGAAACACTAACAATAACTTGCACAATTAGATCAAGTTTAGATTATTGTTTAATTCAGCATCCTGATGGCATTACAAACTTTAAGCCAACTGAAAGCACGCCGGTTGACGTTTGCGATCTTCGCATGGGTCTTTGCGGCGTGCAGGTTTACAACTTGACGCGCGAAGATTCTGGCGAATGGGGTTGTCGCATGGGGGTAAAAGATGCAGCTGAAGTAATTACTAAATATACTGTTGAAATTTATGGTAATATATTAAAAATTTTATTTATCATAACACTGAGATTTATTTTTATAATAAATGTTTCTTAGAAGTAATGCAACAAACTATTTTCCTTTATTTTCTATTTAACTTCCGAAGAATTTTAATCACCTGAAGTTGGTCGACTGCCTAAACAATGATATATTCAAATTCTAATTATAATAAATTCTAATTAAATATATCCATACTAATAATAATAATACAGGTACGAAATAATGATATACATCATTTTCAGATGAACAAATCGTAAATTTGGATAATCAAGCAGTAAATTTGGGAGATTCAGCCTCCATTGGCTGCAGGTCTATAAATAATATATCATTATCTTATTGTAAATTCAAAAGACTTGATGGATTTAGTAAGTAATTATATATATGTATATGTATATATATATATATATATATATGCACAATTATAATAATAATATATAATATATATATATATATATGTAGGCAATTAAGACAGATATAAAATCATTTTACTTTCTCAAAGGTCTGCACTCAAAAGATGTACCAAAAAGTTCACAGTATAAGTTCACAGGCGATTTAAAAAATGGTTTATGCAAATTAAATATTGGCCATATAAATGCTTCAGATATAAACACTTGGATTTGCTCCATAGGCCTGCTTGATGCAAATGAAGAATTCTCAACTAAAATAAAAGTCTTTAGTAAAACATCAACAAATACAATTTTACGTAAGTCACTTAACTTTCAAGTTCATAACATTTGCAGCAATCTAATACAAAATTGATTTCAGGACCGATAGGCACTCATATTGTTTTATTAACTATCACTGGCATTTCACTAATCGTTGTTGGTATATTAGTATTTTACAAATATAGAAATATAATAAAACATAAAGTTACCAGACGATATTCCCGCAATGCAATGCCTAAACCAGAAGACCCAGTACCATTTTATCTACCGGCTGATTCTCCATTACCTACCAAGATCTAACAAAATTATGTTATAAAATTAGATATATAATTATCATAATCAATACTGCTGATTTTTATATTTTGTAGCTTTTATTTTCACCTTAAAAAAACATTTTTTATAACAACTAAGCTCTAACAATATAAATTTCATTATATTATTAAAATTATATTAAGCATTGCTTTTGTGTTTCCTTTTCCTCTTTTTTTTTTTAGTTGATTCTTCACCATTAGTGTTTAATACCTCACAAGGTGATTTTGCCTCATCTTGATTGATCATTTCAACATCTTGAGATTGTTGACTTGGCACACTAAATCCTGGTATGTGTGGTGTGACTAATTTGAAAACCAATTTCTCTCGTTGTATATTACTTCTGTCTAAGCTCAACTGAACTGTTACAGGATCAAAAGATCGAAAAGCAATGTCACCCCAATGTTGAGAATGTGTCTAAAAATAATTATATTTATAACATACTACTAAATAAATATATATTATAAAATATAAATATGACCAAAAGCTCAATTTACCTCTTCATTATATGTAAATTTAACTCCATTTCCATCTTTTAAACCATTTTCATTCTGATTCAAATACAAAGTTCCTTCCAAACCATATTTAGGAATAAGTATTTGCAAAGCATTTTTTCTTACAAACAATATGTATCTGTAAATGAATATTGATCATATATAAATAATATATGAAAAACCATTTTAGAATATAAAGTCTAAAACTTCAGCATAAATTAATATTAATAGAAATTAAATGACTTACCCTTCTTCATCCTGCACGCGTCCTCTAAAGAATAAATGTGTATGCAAGGCCACTGAAGCTCTACCAGCTTGTTGAGCCATACGGTTTCTAAAATTGAGATTAACACATAAACTAGAGCTTCGTTTTAAATCTAAAAGCTCTGGATATGTGGAATCTGCACCTACGCATACGGCTAACAATCTGTGAACTATCACATCAGCATATCTGAAATAATAAAAAGGATTATTGAAATAGCAATAATGAAATCTCAAATCTTAGTAGGAATAAAAATTTGTATGAAAACTAAAACATAAAACTCAAAGATGAATGCATGAGTGCATTACCTTCTAATAGGTGAAGTAAAGTGAGTATAAATTGGTGCAGCCAGACCATAATGAAAATATTCTTCAGCCTGTAAAGTGCCACTGGTGAAATAAACAGCCTGCATCATGCATCTAGTTGTTAAAATTCTTATCATTGTATTAAAATATGGATTTTGTTCATCAGTGGCGTTGTCAAGAGATAAAGCCAACTCTTTACCAGAATCTATATTGATATCTATACCCTGAAAAAAGCATTTGCATAAGATATTTGAAATCAAGAAAAAATATTAGTAAATTTCATTGACTGCATTATTTATAGAGTCTACCCTATGTTTTGCAGCAACTAGCAATGGTTCAAAGTTTTCTTTGGGAGGTGAGGGATGTCGTCGAAGCATAGCGCATTGGGGAAATTCTTTTTCAATTTTCTCAGCAACTGATATATTAGCCAACAACATAAATTCTTCAACCATAGAATTTGTGTCGCGTATTTTTTTGGTTTCTACATCAATAGGATCATGTGTCTCCGAATCAACTTGGAAACGAATTTCGGGAGACGCTAAAACAAGGGCTCTATAAAGAGTGCATATAATTATCTAAGAATAAAAAAAGCATAGGCAGTATATTCATAAACCAATATTTCATAAAACAAAATCTCACCCATTATCTATACGCTTTTTCTTTAATTTCTTTGCCAACATGTTTAATCCCCTCAAAGATGACGCGATAATATCGTGCCTTGTCGGGTCGTCGATTATCAACTGAGCTTCTTCATAGGTAAAAGCGCCTCGAGATGAGATAATACTTTTGTGGAATCTGGTTGATACTATATTAGCATCATGATCGATTTCCCAGACACAAGAAAAAGCAAATCTTTCCTCGCCGCCTCTCAACGAGCATAAATTGGAACTTAAAAGATCGGGTAACATGTCTATACGTCGGTCTGTTAAGTAGACAGTAGTTGCCCTGAGAGCAGCTTCTTTGTCCATGGCAGATCCTGGACGAACAAAATGTGAAACATCGGCAATATGGACCCCAACCTGCAGAAAACTTTAAGTAGATTGGGAACATAAAACATTAACTGTGTACATAAAAAACATTAAGAAATAATTTACCTCGAAGTTTCCGTTTTCCAGGGTTCGACAATGTAAGGCATCGTCGATATCGGTACAACCAGGAGGATCCACAGAGCAGACATCGATATGTCGCAAATCTACGCGTTTATCTAAATCCTATTGAGAAAAAAAAATTGAAGAAGATATAAGTATAAGCTAGATACTTTACAATTTTCTTAATAAGGAAACACACAAAAGCAAATTTTTAATTAATTTATATAAAACTAAACATAAATTTTTTATTTGTGTAACAGCCTATAATTAAAGCATGTACAATGTACATATATACATATATTTCATATAAAAACAATGTTTTGAATTTGTGTTTTGTTCTTCCTGGTATGGGTGTATATTGACAAAGCAATTTTAAAAAACGTTTCAACATTTCATCAATTTTTCTGTAATTATTTTAGTTTTTAGTTTTAAAGTAATAAAAACCTTTATTATTATAATGTAATATTTAATTAACTTTTTATTATTATTTATAAAAATGTAATTCATTTTAATTTATAACAAATTGTAAATAAATTTTAAGGCATTTAAATGAATTCAAGAAAATAAAATTCATCACAAAATTGAACCAGTTGATAAGACCTTATAATACATATGTATTATATGCATTCACCTTATACTTGTTTACCTATACAATCATCTTATATATGTATAATAAAGTCTATTATTAAAAGGTCTATGAGTTGATAGCATCAAAATTAAAAAAATCGAAACAAAAAACAATCAGCATTTTGCCTAATTGCCAATTGCCAAACACCAATGAAAAATTCGTAAGTGATTAAGAATTCTCTTTACTTCGCCTTGCAAACAAATAACGTATTAAACCTATTTAAAAAAATCATTCAGTAAAATATTCATCCTGTAATCCAATAATTATGAATAAAATTAAAATCCTATTCAAAAAGAAAAACGGAGGTGCTAACAGATCAGAAGAAAGTAATGTAAGTGATGGCCAAATAAGTTGCGAAAAACTTTCTGATAAAGCCGAGTGGCAAACGTGCGGTCCGAATGCTTCGATGCCTGAATTATTAGATCAGGTGGATCATATATCTAATCTTCTCAAGAGCATTTATGATGGTAGCCAGTTGACAATTGAAGACAAGTAAGTTCTATATATTCATACTAATATATGTAATGAACCCCGTTAAGACGATTTCTCAGGAACCGAACCCAAAACGCTAGAAAGCATCTTATGCGGGAGGAACAATATCTTAAAAAGTAGGCATGATTGCCTTAACAATCATGCTGTAATATAATAAATGTAAATATGTTTTCAATTAAAATGTTTAATTAGATGTGATTTTCAGAAAATTGGAAGAAAGGCTTGAAAAGGGTCGTGAAGAAGTAAGCTTGCTTGAACTAGAATGCAACTACATAAATAGCCAAATAAAAGCTTATAAATTTCAACTTGAATCAATCAAGAATGAAAAAAATAAGATGGCCAAATTCATTCCAAAACTAATAGAAGATGGTAATAATATATAGTGTATATGTATATATATATATATATATATATATATATATATATATATACACACATGCTTGTCCGAATTCTATATTAAATAAAATAACAAATCGTATTTTCTGAGAAATATATACATATAAAACTTCTCCATTGGGAAGTTAAAAAAAATGGTCCCTCTTTTTAAATTGCAAAGCATATTAATAAGAAATTTTTATATAAAAAAATAATAGTATTATATATAATTTGTCAGGTGATTTATTTTTTTATAGACAAGAAAGAAATTGATCAAGTATTGCAGAAGTACGACGTGTTCCTGCACGCAAGATGGGGAGTTTTACGACATTCGAAAAATGCAAAAAAATTAGAAAGTTTCTTGGCTGATATTAAAGTTGGTGTAAAATACTATTGTATTATTTCTATCATCATTATTGTTAAATGTTTCTTTTATCTAGAAACGTTACACGAATCTGGTGAATATGGAAAAATGTGCATTGACCCCATCATCAAAAAAAAATGCATCAAAAAAGAAGGAACCATCAAAAACAGCAGCAGCAAGTACCATTCCAGAACCTGCTGTAACTCCAGTTCCAAATACTACAAAACCAAAATCTCCTACTGCTATAGCTTTAAATCCTTGTGAGTTTTTGTACTTAAATTGATAAACCTATGGAAATTATTATTCATACACAACTATTTTTATTTCAAATAAGTAAATATCAAACGCTTGCCAAGGCCTTTCAAACGTCGTCGTCAACTGGACAACACCTGTACTATACGTAATCCATTCTTCGATAGTAATGATAATAAAAATGGTGTCACATTATACCCCATTGAAGAACTAGAGAGACACCAAAAATTGGCAGCACAGATGGAAAAACAACATCTACATAGGCAACAACAGCAGGTTCTGATAATATTTTTACTTCTATAATTATAATTACTTTTTCATTAATACTTTATTATTTATTTTTAGCACCATAATATGCAGAACTTCAACTCAGTTGTTTTGCCCATAGAATATGTTGACCTGACCCAAGAACTACCAATGAATGCACCTTTAAGAACTGAGCCCGGACCAATTAATAATATGAACCGAGATAGTACAAGTAATACTAGTCTCTCCAGCAATATTCATAGTGAAATTAGTTGCATGATGCAAGCTCTTTTTGGAGAGACAGCCTCAACTACAAGCATAAATATGGAAAATTTGAATATTAATATTAATAACAATAGAAGAGGTAATATTAGCGGTTTGCTGCTCAGTGATACCAATGGGCTAAGTGATACTGATTTTGATGATCCATCCAGTTCCCAAAGACAATAACATTAATATTTGAAAACATATTTTAAATATTTAATTTAAAAATTTTGTTTCAAGTAATAAAATACTTTTTTCTAAAAATTTCTTATTTGAAATAGCTCAGCAATATTTCTTACCTCTGGCTTTATGATCCATGGAAGTGTTGGTAAGCAAGCAAGAACAGCTTCAGAAAATTTACTATGTGGTACATCATGTTCCAATAATAAGACTTCATTTTCTGTATCCTTATCTCCTACGGGTCCTAGAGCACGAACAAAATGACCTAATGGGTACCTGGAAATTGCAATTTATTTAAAAAATGTATTTATAAACTTTACTTATATTTTATTTTAAAATACTTTTCTAATGATTCTAATTTAGTTAATAATTAATACCTAGAATGGCGAGGCCATGAATCCATTGCAACAATTATGCGTTGACCACATAATATATCAGCTTGCCTCGTTTCTATCCTAACTTTAGAAATCTTTTTATCTGCTGGAACAAATATATGTTTAGTAGAACCCTTAACTAAACTTTGTTGAAGAACACCACAGTACTGTCGCCATCGTCTTCTTATTATACCAACCACTCTCCCTAAAAAGTGATTCAAAACATATATTAATAATGCAATTTGTTGAATACTATAAATATTGGCTGACCTGTAGGAACTGTTTCATTTTTCTTGATGATTACAGCTCGTTCAACATTTTCAGCTACTGGTCCCATTTCTCCCTGACCAACACTATCATCAGGTTGCTCCTCTGTAGGATCTGATTCTTCTGATAATACAAGTCCACTAGGGCTGCACCATTCTGATTCTGGAAATAATTCTATAGCCACGGTGTCACCATCTACAGATCTGTTCATTCCTTCTCTACCTACAACTAACACCTAAAAAATGAATAACTTTAGATAATCACAACAACAAAAAATCACATTATTCACTATATATATTGAAATATTACACTGCATTATCTAATACTCACTGGCTTTTCCCGACCTTCTACATTAACCCATCCTTCCATATAATTTTCTCTTGAAGCTTGGAAGCTTCCTTGCAAGAGTTGTCCATTTCTGATTCCATCATGAATGTTTGCAGGAGTGAGATGAGCAGGAAATAAAGCCTGGCCACCTAATCCTTCAAAATTTGCTTTTGATAATTTGTCCTAAAATAATTTATAATTAATAGCATCCCTCTGTTAATAAATTGTAAGCAAACAAGTATATAATAATACATACTTGAAGTGCAGGTGAATTGGTTAAACTAGCCACATAATCACCAACAGAAAAAGCAATTAAGCCTGCTGCAATAGCTTTCTTTCTATTTTCGGCATCATCAGTAAGTAATAATACATTCAGTTTTTCATAAGACTTCTTAATATGTTTATTGTACCAAAGGCAAGCTACTCTTATCGCTCTATCATTTCTGTCATTAGGAGTTTCTCCTGGATTGCGTTCTATATATGTATCTCTGAAAATAATAAATAATATTTAGCAATTTAATACTAATGATGTTACTCAATAATATTTATGTACTTGATCAAGAAAAATTAAAGCATACTAATGCCTAATGAATAACACTATGACTAGTATAAAGATAAATAACATATTTGAACAAACTGAATTTTTATCTACCTCATTTATTATAAATCAAACTTTATATTAATGTTACATACTTATGATGTTCATTGACAAAAACATAAAATCTTCTCTGAGTGTTGGATATTATATCCCGCAGACGTTTATAAACTGATGAACTTTTATGTTTAACTTCTTCAAGCACTGTTTGTAGAATAATAACATTGGTGATAACGTCTTCTTCCAACACATCAATTTGATCTAAAACAACATTTGTATCGAGAAGCAAATAATGCTTGGAAGTGTGAATAGAACTTCCAGAAACTGGATTATCCGATAAAATTAAGTCATTTTCTTTGTGAACACATATTGTACAGAGTTGTGAACCACACCATATATCATCTCGTAAATAATGCTCACGAACAATCTGTAAATTGATTTATATATAATTCATATATGTGCTTTATGATCAAGGTATTTAATTTATTTCATTAATAACTACTTTTAAAATATTGCCACGCTTTGTTTTACGAAGAAAAACCTTTGAAGTAAGCATAGTTTTTATTATTATCTACATATGTAATAATTAAAAAAACATTTATTAAATAGCAAAAATGTTGGATACTAAATAACCTAACTTTCAAGTAAACACGTTCTGAAATGGACTATGTAAATAGATATGGATAACCAAATTATTAACTGTCAAAGTAGTAAATCCGTTAATCCATAGATAAAAGAAGAGTATATATGCGTTAATCTTTATAAAATTAAATAATAATAAATAAATACGCTATGTTACCAGTCTATATAAATATATGTTCTATTCTCTATGCTTAATTTCGGTGGTAAATATTTTTAAATTAAACCAACAGTCTGTGTTGTCTGACTTGGTTGAACAAGTTTATTGTATAATTGTAATAATAATTATCCGTATCATAAACTTAAATAGATTTAAAGTTAAAGTGTGTTTTTTGTGATTTAGGTGAGTACAAAATAATTACTTTTATTTTAAGGCAAAGTGTTGGGCATAATTCTAAACAAACATTTGTTAAATACATTTTGAACACATTTATTTTACTAATACTTTTTGAGGATTAGATAAATTAAAAAACATTGTACATATATATTTTTTTTATTCATATTCATAAATACTTTATAATAATAATGACTAGAGTTTACAAGTTTGTTTATGTACAGCTCGACACTTTCAAACTTTGTTCATCAATATACACACAATAAATGTGACGAAAAATGTCCAACCTATCCATAATGATAAATGCTGCACACGAATTATCTTGCTAAAATGCCAAGTTTTTCTCGGACATTTGAATCACTGGGCAATGATAAAGCCCATTTTCTAAACCCAGTAAGTAAAACTGAGCATATAACTAATAAAGCGCCGCCGATAGAAAATATGTTGGGTGTTTCTTGGAAAAACACAATTTCCCAAATAAAAGCAAAAACTATATCGGCCGAACGAGCTATGGCTACAGGTCCTGCTTGCTCAAACTGTAATGCCATTGTTAATAATATTTGGCCCCCAAAACTAAATAATGCTAGAGCTACTACTAAAATTCTGTCTGTTCCACATTTTGGCATGCAAAGTGCTCCAATCATGTATGTTATCATTATTGTCTGTATTAGGCCGAAAGTACCAAAATTTGTCATGATTATTGAAAAGTGTAAGCCTTTCAACGCTCTTAGTAGCACATATACATTGGCACCAAAAAGTGTTGCAGAGAAAGCTGCAACCACACTCCACACATCACTAGTATTATTATTAGATTCACTGTCAGTATCTTTATCCAAAACCAATTCAGACTTTGTAATTAATATCACACCAATTAAAGTTAAAATTATTGATATCACATTAAAAGGTCCACAAGGTTCTTTTAAAAATAATCTAGCAAAAATTGCTACAAATACTGGTACAGAAAATACAATAACTGATGCATCTCCCAGAGGCATATGACGGAATGCATAAAAACTTAACATCAGTCCTGTTGTTCCAACAAATGATCGTAATAGCAACATCACTCGTTTTCCTTCAGGAAAAATGGGTTCCTGTTTATAAAGCACTATTGGTATAGCAGGCAATAAAACTCCAACAAATCGAAATGCTGCTAACTCCATAGGGTTGATGTCAACTAAACCTTTTACTATTACTGATGATAATGAGAAAAATAATGATGATAATGTTGCAAGGATGAGTCCTAAGTAAGGGCACATTCTGCATTGTGATAATCTCAAGGAACAAGTCTGTTTTGAATCGTCATATTCTTCAGGTACTGATGTACCATCTATGAGCTCCTGCAGCTCAATTTGTCGCACCATTATTGAAATAGATAGCTAATTGTAAGGATCTACAAAATCATATAAAACCTGAATAAAAAAAAATTAAATTATATAGTTAAAAGAACTTACACAAAATTTGAAAAACAATATTGGTGAATATATTTAAATTTTCCATCATGTTAAAATTAACGTGAAAAGAAGATAATTTTACTAAAAATTCCTTATCACTGAGAGTCATTATCAGATATTTTGACATTTGAGGTAAAGATAAAAGATTCTTATTTAAGATGTGTTACCAGAATACAAAACATACCCCTAATATTAAAGGGGAATAGAAAGCCATGACGTAGCGCCGGCGTAGCGAAACGTAGCATGAATGTATATCATTGATTAAATAAATCACATGCATTAATTCTTCTAGTAGTTATATAAATTTGTACCGTAGCTTATTATGCATTTATTATGTTTAAAATGAATTTTATTTCCATATGCTAATTTTAATAAATACATAAATGATATATTATTATTATAAATTCTACATGTATTTAACACAAAACATATTTAGAAAATTTTATCTATAAGATAGACAATGTCTTTAAAACCCTTTCCTGTTCGACTCCACCTGCTGCATTCCTGAAATTTTTAATTTAAAAAAAATATATAATAGGAATATAGAAGCATATTAATCTATCATATGTTAGAAAATATGAAATTTGAGGTCTTCTCAGAATATGGTAGAATATGTTATAAAACATGCAATGATTGATAAAATATAGTTTTGATCGCATAATAAATAATGGTCCTTTATTATTATTACTATTATTAACAATTTCTTGTAAAACAGTATGTACAAATATAAAATGCAACATTCAAACAAGATATGTATATAGGAATATCTACACATATTGCATGAACAAAATTTTAAAAGCGCATATAAAAACCTTATGTATTAGAGAAGACAAAATACTTGAAAAGCATTACAAAATCTTGCATGAAAAAATATTTACAGATATTGCATGAGCAAAATTATTTTAAAAGCAAATATAAACACCTTACATATTAGAAAAGATATGGAATTGTTTTATTTTTAAAATTTTATAAAACCATGGATGGTGAACATATTTTAAGCACTCTATGCAGTTATTGTATCATTTAATTCCATCACTTGCCTGCCTAAAAATAACTGCAATGTTTCTTTCGTTTCATTTGGGAAAAATGATTCAGTCAAAACATTATCCAAAGCTACAAGACAAGCGTCAACATCCCATGTTGGTTTAAATTTTTTGTCTTCACTCTAAAAAATGAAAAATGAATTTATAAAATTGCATTATTAATATAACTAATTCCAAATTCATTACCTTTATAAGCCCTAAGTTTACAAGCAATGTGTTATTAACCAAAGAGTTAATATTTTCATTTTTGGACCAACTGAACAGTTCTTTATAAATTTTTCTAGAAATACTTAATGCTGATTGTTTTATAATTTCATCTGTCGATTTGCACAATCCTGATACTTTCATTAATACTATCACAAGTTTATTTAAGTACTCATCGTCTTTAGGCAAATTCTATAAGTAAAGTAAAAAGAACATGAAATAAAGTCAGAATAATGATATGATAATTGATCATTAGAAAACGAAAAAAAAAGTTTTTATAAGCTTGTATATCTCATTACCTTAACTTCTTTCAAAAATATGTTTTCTCTATCATTTCCTAATGCCAAAAAATTGGTTTGAGATGGGTTTTGTAAAAATAGTTCAATACTAGTATTAGCACTAGGAGATGGTGACAATGATTTTATAGATAAGTTATTAAATAATGAAGACTGTATTTTAGGAGCTGCTAATTCTACAGAAGGTTTGACTATTGACGCAATTGGTGTTGAAGTTGGCGTAATAACTGGAGCCTCTGGATATTCATCTTCACTTGCTTCAGATTCTGTGAGGTAATTACATTACAGTTGTGCATAGATTCTATTAATAACATATATTTAAAATCATTACACATACCTTCTTCATTATCTGAATCAGTTTCATCATCATCAGGTTCCCCTTCATCATCTGACAAACTGCCCAAAACATCATCTTGCCCACGTTCTTGCATCAACTTAGAAATTAACTTTTTACCTACATCCCCAAATTGATTTCCGTCAAGTATAACAGATTTTAGATTTGACTTATTTTGTAAAGCTTCAACTAAAGCAACTCCACCTGGGGTTGAAATTTCATTGAACCCTAAAACCAATGTCTAAGAAATAAAAATTAATTGAATTAATTTCTCATAAAGTTAACAGTTAAAATGTATACATTATAAAGCAAAAAATTATTAACCTCTAATTTTGTATGACCCTCCTTCAAGGCATTTGCCAAAGACTGTGCTCCTGCTGTTTTTAATAAACAATCTCCAAAATTGATTTCTTCTAACTGCTGAATATGTGGTAATGCTTTAGCAATTGCTTGAGCCCCTTTCTCACCAATTGTGTTATCATTCAAATTCAATACTCTTAAATTTTTATTCATCGCAAAAGCTTCAGAAAGAGCAGTTATCCCAGGTGCATAAATTCCATTTTGAGGCATAGAAATTTCTTCTAGAGTTCCGATTGTCTATTAAAATTCAAGTAAGTTTCATAAACTCAATCACATATATTTATATTAAACAATAATTAAAATCAAATTTGAAATAATAAATAAAATTTAAATTTAAAACCTTAAAAACTTCAGCTAAAGCCTTGGAGCCATCATTTTCAAGCCGATTCCTACCAGCTACAAACACTTTTAAGCTTAATGCTTTTCCTGTCTTTTTGCTATTAGAATGACAATCCAATAACGCTTTCGCAAGCATCCTTCCGCCTCCAATTCCAAGACCATTGTTATTTAACCTCAGTTCCTAAAACAAGAGTAATAAGATTGAAGATATATATTTATATAAAACTATATGTAATATAAAAGAAAGTTCACCTCTAGAGCATAGCATGGAGAGCCCAACAGAACAACAAGACCTTCCATTCCATTTGGACCAAAAGCATTATCACTCAAATCTAAAACTGTTAATCTTGCATGAGCATTAATCATTCCAGTTCCAAGATGATGCTGAATAAATAAATGATATAATTAATAAAAAATATTGTAATATAATTATTATTTCAACAAATGATTATATTTATTTATACCAAAGCTTTAGGTATCTCGGTTTTCATGCGACCAGTGAATAAATCTTTCCATAAAGCCTTTTTGAATTCAGGGTGACCTTCTATAGCTTTAGCAATTACTTCAGCAGCCTCTACACCTAATGTATTACCTTCTAAATTCAAGTAGGTCATAGATTTGCAAGCATTTATTGCTGAAACGACACTCGCGGCTGGAACAGATTTTATTAGAGGTTATAAAATATTTCATATATTATTAAAAATATTAATCATCTATAGTTGATACCTGAAGAAGCATCGTCTAATTTTAATCCTTTTCCAGCAAAACTAACACCACTTTCAACAGTATTGCTGATTTGTGAAGTTAATTCATCAAAGTTAAAAGTAGCCATTGTTGATTATACAAAATACTATGAATTTTACTGCTTAATTAATGCTTAAATAAACAAAAGTCACTTTCTTATTACATAAAGTACTATCACATATGTATAACAAAGTTTCCAAAAAGAAAAAAATGTTTTCAAAATATTATACATACAAATTGGCGGTTAAAATAAGACAGAAAGATTCAGCCATATTTAAATGTACTGTAGTTGTGGAGGTTGGTAACAATAACAAGTTAGGCTTGTTTATAATTTGAAAATTTTCTGTTGAAATATTGAAATTAAATTTATAAACATTTTCGTATTGAATGGGCATTTATAAGTGGTTTATAAAAAGGAATCAGAAAATCAAATTCAGGATGAAGGTATCTATCATAAATATTATCACTTTAGGTGAAAGATACTCGATGCTATAAAAATCTGCTTGGTGTGATTTAATATATACACTTCAGACTTACAAGTACTTATAAAAACTTGATAAAACCATAATTCATATATAACAAAAATATTGTTTATAGAATATGTAAGATTTCTTATATTTAAATATATTAATCTACAAAAATCAAAATAAATTTATTGAAAATGTTCAATCAACTGGTAAAGATACTACAAAATCATGTGTATCATCTTGAGTTAGAACTAAATCATTATCGTTTGTTATATGCATTACAGATAATAAGGCAATTCCCTGAGTAAGATTTGTTAATTCAGCAGCTGGAAGTTGTTCGTGTAACTTTTTGTAAATTTGTGAAAAAGTCACATTTTTATCTGCAGATCTTGATGTGTCTTTGGGTTTCAAATAACTATCAATAATTTTTAATGTTTGTGATTTAATCAATTTCATATTAACTGTCCTTGCCTTGGTATCATATGTTATTTTTACTTGATTTACCTAGAAAAAGAATTAATAAGTTAGTAAAGAATTAGGTGTTTGTAAACAAAATTATATATTGACTTCAATTAAATCAGTGAAAACATCCAATAAAAATAATTTAATCTTATTATATTACCAAATCTGGAGCATCTACATAACCCTCTGATGATTTATTTGTGCCTGCAGGTTCATTCTCATCTGCAGAGTAATCCTCATCATTCTAAAACAATTAAAATTTATAAAACATGTTTTGTCCAAATATATAAATGATTGCTGTGCTATGTAAAATCATTCTAATTTTGCAATAAATTTTACTTACCTCAACTACTGCGCAAAAATTGCTGTCATTATTGTTTTCATAATTATATTCGGGAACAATATCATCCATGCATGTAGCATTTGCATCACTTTCAACAGATATAGATTTATAAGGCGTCATAAAATGGCAATTAACAGAATCACATGTTAAATGCAGCTTGTCGGGTAACAAGTTTTTAACAGGGTTCCAATTGAGAAGAACAGAACCTTTAAGTTTATGTAAACTCTTGCATTTAAATTTAGTTTCATCCACTTCTCCATCAAGGTCAATTGTTGCAAACTGTTTGTTTTTTTTAGCTTGTCTTACCTTTAGAACTTCAGATGACTTATCAGTATATAAAGATTTACCCCCTTAAAAATTAATTTACAATCAACTATTTGTAATATTATAATATAATTATATTATAAGTATTTGTAATATTATTACAAATTATATTATAATATAATTTGTAATAATATAATATAATATAATAAATCATTCACTTACTGGCTTTTCTTCGCATTAAAGGATATTTCCAATGTAAAGGTCCTGCATACAATTTGCTCAACATGTTTTTTATTTTGGGATTGTAACTATATTCCGACACCTTATTGAAATTTGTTGCCTTTAATATTTTCTGATTCATGTTTAAACCATTTCTCATCATAACTGGAGTAATTTCATCTTCGTCTTCATTATTTTCAAAGAACATTTGGCCAGCATTATCATCATAATCCATTGATTCTACTAAATATAAAGTAATTATTAGCAATGTTGAGAAGTACCATGTAAAAGGTTTAACTTACAGTCTGCTGCAGGATTAGGTATCTTTTCTACTTCAGCATTTATGTCAAAAGTAATTTCCAACTGCGAAGAATTTAGTAGCCCATCTGAATGTATGAATCTCGCATTACTGAAAGAAAAACATAAAATCATATATAATTATATGAAAAATACTGAAATATAAAAAAAGAAAAAAAATGCATAATAAATAAACCTGTCTTTGTCTTTTTCAGGACTCCAATCTAAAAACTTAAAGCTGTGAAGTGAAGCATTTATATGAGCTGCTTCACATTTTGTTAATGAGCTCAGGGAAATTTCATCGTTATTGGATGCATTTTCTATTTGATGGCATGTGATATCAACATGTTCCTCTAATCTGAAAAATTAATTATAAGCAGAATTAATTTTAAATAATTTGTTGTTGAAACTCATAGTAATTCTATCCAAGTGGTTCAAAACATTAGCAAATAATTTAGAATTACCCGGTTAATAATTGTTTATCTACACATTCCAATGTTAATCTATACATTTTGTCAGCTGATAAACCTTCTCCTGACATGGCAGCTCTACATGTAAATAATTTATCTAGCTCAGGAATAGTTTCTATTTCTTTATCAATCTGATTTAAATCAGTTACTATAAGTGATTTTATATTTCGCTTCCGAATTTTTTTCTTTTTTGGCATAATCTCATTCGGATCATTGTTATCAACACCATCATCATTGTTATCAGAATCTTCTCCTTCTTGCTGATTTGCTTTTTGAGAACCTTCATGAAATAAATGTTTGCATGAAATACATGCATCATAAAATTAAAAAGGGTAGATGATATACAATAATGATTATATGTATATTGAAAAATACAAACTTTTATTTTCTGTATGCATTAGACCAGATGCTAATCTCACGATGTCTTGATGAACATCATCAACTCTTAATGCATATATTTTTGCAGAAGCATCTATAGCTACACTAGCCAAATTTAAATCACCGATGATCATTTTGTCTTTCAGGTCAGTGAGTTGATATAAATCATGAATTAAGTTAAGATCCCATGCATTTTGTTTTGTTATTTTCTGCAATAATTGACAACGTTTTAGTGTTCTTGTAAAAGATATAAAGATAGGGGGATTATTATAGTATGAGTACCTACATTCATTTGAAAAAGTTTAATAGATGATTTGAAACATTCTTTATATCCAGTTAATTTATTTGTATTTCTTGGAGTTATTTGAACTGATAGCTCACTTCTTGCAACAGAACGATCAATATTTGACAACCTTTCTTCGCGAGTACTCTGTTTGGATATTAATAAAAAGTGATAGTGGTTATATGTATTACTTTTCTCTATATATAGAGAAAAATAATACATAAAAAATTAAACTCACTAAATCTGGGGTTTCAGACAGAGGCGTTACGACAATAGACCTCCTGGTTAAAGGAATACCCCTTATCGGTGTGCTTTGAAACACCCCATTACTTTTCACTGCACTCATGTTAGATTTAATAACATTTAAACTTTTATATTAAATGATTGAATTTGTTATCAAAATTATTGAAAGCAGTTGAAAAACAGTCACAACATTTGGCGTTCAACGGCGTAAGACATATATTCAAAATAAACAAGGATATGCGACTCAACATATGAAATAGACTTCTTTTATCTATGCTCATCGAATAAAAAGATTTATTAATAAAACTCAGTTTAATTAATAATAAATTAGTTAATTTTAAGATTAATTAAAACATATTAAAATGCAAAGCTTCTTATAGAATAACAAATACATTTATGTGATTATGTGACTGAAACTAAGAGCGCGAAATTCAAATTTATATATTTTATATTCAAATTTTTTTTTTTTAATTTTATGAAATGAAAATACAGTATAATCTAATCCAATTAAAACGGGCTAATAATGCCACATACTCTAAATAATGCTACAAGTTTAATAGTTAAATCATACATATCACACATTAAAACATAAAAAAATTATAATATACACATTCTATCATAAAAATTATGATTTATATTAACAAAGAACGAAGAAAAATAGACTATAATTAAGCGATTTATCATTCTATATTAAATTTAATTTCTGTTCAATATTATATCTGGTCATTCAAGAAGAATTTAATTCATCCCAGTTGACAGTTTTCATATAACCAATATGATCGTTCCTTTTTATTTAACAAAATAATAGATTTTCAGCACAAGTTATAATGACATGTTATGACGTGGATGCAACGCACTATTTAAATTAATTTGTTGCTTAAGATAAATGTTCTTAATGATGTTGATAATGTGACACGATAGATAGATAAACTGCGTGGCATTCTACAAAATATTCTAACTATACAATTTTAAAAGTTATGTTAGTTTAATCATTATGGGTAAAATATTGTTTCTCCATCCTGATCTCGGTATTGGAGGTGCAGAGCGCCTAGTGGTTGATGCTGCATTGGCTTTAAAGCAAAAGGGACACAGTGTGCAGTTTGTGACAAACCATCATGATCCTAATCATTGTTTTGAAGAAACGAGAGATGGTAGTTTGAATATAACAGTTGTAGGAGATTGGATACCTAGACATCTTGCAGGAAAATTCTATGCATTTTGGGCATACCTTCGATTGCTGTATGCTGCTTTATACATGTTAGTGTTTATTGTTCCATATGAGAAACCCGATATAATTTTTTGTGATCAAATTTCAATTGCGATACCTATCTTAAGGCTGTTCTCTTTCAAGAGATTTTCAGTTATTTTCTATTGTCATTTTCCTGACTTGTTACTAAGTAAGCCAGGTGGTTTATTAAAAACTTATTATCGCAAGCCTTTGAATTGGTTAGAGGAGTATACTACAAGTAAAGCAGACGTGATTCTAGTTAATAGCAAATTCACATCAAGAGTATTTAAATCTACATTTAAAACAATATCAACATCACCAGATATATTATATCCATCAATCAATACCAAAAATATTGATAATACTCACATACCTGAGGAAGTAGATGGTATTGAATCCAATGTAAAGTTTATACTATCGATAAATCGTTTTGAACGCAAGAAAGATATTTCACTGGTATTAAATTCATTTGCAAAATTTCGAGCTTTGAGTAATGATGATAATTTAAAATTAATTATTATTGGTGGGTATGATGAAAGAGTTATAGAAAATGTTGAATATTATGAAGAGCTCCAGACATTGGCCAAATCTCTGGATGTCAGCTCTGAAGTCACATTTCTGAAATCACCAAGTGATGCAATTAAATATTATTTGCTGAAACACTGCGTAAGTTTAATTTATTCACCCCAAAATGAACATTTTGGAATAGTTCCACTAGAAGCAATGTATATGGGAAAACCCGTAATTGCTTGCAATAGTGGAGGACCAACAGAGACTGTAATGGATTCTGTGACTGGATTTTTGTGTGACCCAGATCCTGATAAATTTGCTAAAGCTATAGTAAATAGCATAGAACGATCTGATGAATTGGGTAGAAAAGGAGAAGAACTATTCAAAACAAGATTTTCATTCAGTGCTTTTTCTGATCAATTGAATCATATAATTTCAAATCAAATGAAAAGAAAACATGTAGCACATAAGTCTAAATAAATATAAAAGTATAAAATATATTAATCTTTATATATATATATATATATATATATATATATATATATATGTACACTATGCAATACATACTTATGATATTCCTATATCACCTTTTATATTATCACAAGGTCAATAGTAAATACTCTTTCGTACATTATAATAGTTATATAAATTTAATAAGCACCTTTGTCACTGAAAAGGCTAAAATGTTCTTCTGTAATTTCCAATTGAATATCATATTGTTGATCTAACCCCAAGTAAGAATCAGACATTATATATATAGTTAGAATAAGACGGCCTAAAAGCAAATGTACCAGAAATTATACTATGAATAGTTAAAGTAATTGATATCTACACAAATTATTACATTAATATTATAATGTTCTCTATTGCACATTTTTTTACCTGTGCTTTCTGGAGTTTGGAATATTAAATGATGATTGCTAAATTCTCTTCTGATTGCCACACGTTTTATTGCATAAAGTTCTCGATTGTCTATACATCCTAGTACTAAACTCCAACCTTCATCTTTTGATCTAGGGAAATGTGGACAATGTACTGGACATTGTTTTCCCATTCGATGCATTTTTACTGTCAGTGTGTACTCCTATAAAAGATATCTTGTTTACATATAAATATTGCAGAATAAATACTGTAAGTTTGTAACAAAAATTAGTTTTGAATATTCATTAATGTCCATTTTTCAAAAGATTACCCTATTTTTCTCTACTTTTATCCAATGATCTTTATTCAATGGTTGATTGATTTCAAAATTTAGAGGACTGCCTTCATATTCTCCTTCTAAAGTTAAGCTTATTTTCAAATCAGGCATATCTTTCAGAACCTGAAATTTATAATATTTAAATTCAAAATTAACAAATTAATTATAATCTCATTTTAATGATTTATTTTTACTATATTATTTACCTTATAAATTTGAATGATTTGATGCTCCTCAAAATCTTCCCGTAAAGGTTTGGCTAATTTTTCATAACCATCTCTTCTGCAAACTACATCTTTAACTCCTGGCAAAGTCGTACAATATTTGCCAATTTTGCTGAAGAGATGCCCATGATATGGCTCTACATTAGGCAAAGTGCTCAATGCATCATCTTTCAGCCAACGAGCTAAAAATATGAGACCCATTACATGTTTAAATACTGCTAACAATAAAATAACTTAATAATCATAATAATCTCTTTATTATCTCACCTTGAACTAACATTTGTAAGACCTGTTGACAACCCAAAGCTGATGCAAGCCAACCTCTTTCTGCACAAATATCAGTCATTGCCTGTAAAACCATTTCTTTAAAGAAACCAGATTTCATATTTATACAAATAATAGTTAATATTAAACCTGTAATATTCGTATTGCTTGTTCAAGCACACTTTTGGTATCAGTTAAATAATCTGGGCATGGTAGGGGTGCATGAGTCAAATGAGCTTGAAGTAGTAGATGAGCTTTAACATGCGGATTTTCATACTGCATTGAATCCACTGGTACAGGACAATACTTTGCAAGATCACTAAGAGAAAAATGTAATTACACCTAAGTCTGTTTTTACACGGCGATTGGTTCCAGAAGAAGCCGTGTAAAAAAAAAAACGTGTAAAAAAGACATTGATCTTATACAAAAATGGGTGATTTGTTCCTAATCTCTAAAACCTATTAAAATTGGTGAAAAACAAGAATTTTTTAAGAACAAGAATTAAATTAGTGATATTCACATTTGCTTTGACCAGTAAAAATTGTTTGTACGCGCTAAAGGGGAATTCACTCAAATCTTTAAGCTAGTGTTCGCAAACTATCGATACTATCGATGGTTTCAGACTTTTTCCTTTCATAAATACTTTTTTGTGATATGAACATACTTCGCAAAAATTAAATTTGACAAAAACAATTTAAGTACATAAAATTTTAAATCGTGCTAAATGGAATAAAAACGTGTAAAAAAATTAAAAATATTCAATTTTCAAACCGTGTTATATCAAAACCGTGTACAAAAAGACCGTGTAAAAAACAGACTTAGGTGTACTAGTATTATAATTATACTTCAAATAATATATTAGGAAAAATGACTTACGCATTGTAGTGCTCTTCATTATGTCTTACAGGCAGCTCATCATATTCGTGAACTTCACTGAGAATTTTCAGTAAATCATCTGTATCTAAATCTGGTCCTAAAGAGTTGGCAAAGTGCAACATAGTCTGATGGCTTAAATAGTAATAAGAAGATATTCTTCCAAATGATGTTGATATCAGAGTTCTTTCATCCTGGTCAGATATGAGCACACAGTGGGCTTTCACTAAATCTTCTAAGGCTTTTTGAATCAGTTCAGTTAGATAATAATTTATATCTCTTTGATCTAAAGAATTTAATTGGTAATAGGCTGGATTCTGCAACAATCGGCGAAAAAAATATGTCCAAGTTAAATAATCAAGAGCATCTTGCTTAGATTGTATAGTTCCAGCTACTATTTCAGCATTCATATGATCTGGTAATACTGCAAGAAGATTAGATTCAACAGGGAATGGCTCATACAAAAATTTTTTGTAAAAGTTTTTCTTTATGTCATGTACTAAAACTACTGCTGTTCCTTGATTATCAAACTGAAAAAATATTGAACAAGTTAAAAAACAGTTCAGATAATTCTAATATTTAATTAAACAAAGATCTATACCTGTGGTCTACCAGCTCTTCCCATCATTTGCAAAACATCAGTTATCGGCATGTCGACATAACGTTTTTGCTTTCCATCAAAATATTCAGTACCTTTAATTACTACAAGATGTGCTGGAAAGTTTACGCCCCAAGCCAGTGTTGCTGTTGCAATTAGAACCTGTTACATAAAAAATTATGAAAACTTTTCAATTATTGGACAATAAAAAATAAATAATAAATAAATGACTCACCTGTATCTTTTGATTAACAAAAAGTTCTTCAACAATATTCCTGTCTCTTTCTTGTAAACCTGCATGATGCATGCCGACTCCAAAAGCTAAACATAATTTTAGATTTTGATCTTTAACTCCAGCCAATATTTGTTCAAGTGCATGTTCCTCCATATGAAGCCATTGCTTAGGATTTGCCTCTGAGGCAAGAAAAGCTATTAAGTCTAAGGCAGTCATCCTAAAATTTTTAATATATAAGTAAAACTTTATGAGATAAAATTATGCTTTCTCAGTTTGAATTTTTCAGTTTTTACTGAATTCATAAATGGAGTTAAAAAAAAAACTGTTGCAATACAAATTCTCCAAATGTTGATGTTTTTGCAATATTAACATCTATTAATTAACATTAAATTATCTAACCTGGTCTGCCTACGGGATGAAACAAAAACTAAGGCTGGGCTATCTGGTGAGTGCTGCCTAATAGCTTGAAATGTCGGTCTATTCATAGATATCATTCGTGGGCAATAGTGTTTACCTGGAAAACCTGCTATATGAACTTCTAATGGGACCGGACGTACTGAAGGACGAAAATTGTACATTCCCATCTGACGAAAGAATAATAAAGTAAATGAAACAATATAGATAATATTGATTAAATTATATAAAATACCTGACCAATCCCAAGCCAATTCGCTAAATCGCGAGCATTAGCTAATGCAGTGGAAAGACCTATGATACGCAGTGTTCTTTCCGTATGAGAAGCGATAAAATTTGTTCTAGAATTATTTAAAATAATAAATTATTAGAATTCTTTTAAACAGCTGTTAATTTTTATAAAAATGTTATATTAAACCTGGAAACAATGACTTCTAAAACTGGACCTCTATCTTCACCCAGAAGGTGAATTTCATCTATAATTATCAGAGCAACAGCTCTAACATAGCTTCTAGTTTGCCAACTTCTACTGATACCATCCCATTTCTCTGGTGTTGTTACTATGATTTGTGCTTGTTCAATAGCTCTAGTATCAGGAGTAACATCACCTAAGTAATAATTAAAATATTTTAATTAACATTAACTGTATGTTAAAAATTTAATACATATGTTCAATATAAATCCAAATGAGAAAATCTAAATTTAGAAAAATTATCAGAATTAATGGGTAAGCAAAATAAAAAATCATTTTTGAAAACATATGCTTTAAATTAAAAAGTCACCTGTTAATTCTACAACTTTCTTTCCTAACTTTTGTTCCATTCTGACTTTCCAGTCTTGTATTCTTTCACGAACTAATGCCTTTAAAGGTGCTATATAAACAACCTGGAGAAATAAACAAATACACATTCAAAAACACAATTGTAATTAAAATATTATCATTCATTAAATTTTACAGAATGATCAATACTGACCCAAAAAATGCACAAAAAACACATTTTCACTGACCTTGCTCTGGGGATATTTATGAAAAACTCGACACATAGCTATTTCCGCAACAATAGTTTTTCCTGAACCTGTTGGCGCTCCCAAAAGCACATTGTTATCAGTATGATAGAGACAGTGGAAAATCTGTGTTTGTATCGGATTGAAATGAGAAAATTTATACAAAGATTCAAACTCTTTATCTCCAAGAGCAGTTATAGCTAATGGCTCTAGCATTAGAAGATCTGAAAATAATTTAGTAATTTATTATAAATCTTGCACTCAGATTCATCAAGCATGATAAAAAGTTGGAGTAAAATTTTGTGGAAGGTTTTTGTCTTTGAATTTATCTTTACCTACCTGTATGTGGTGGATGTATTTCTGGCAATATCAGATGTTGAAAAGATAATGTTAAGTAACTCACAGAGCCTAGCCATTTATCACTTGTTGCTCGTACAAAATATTGTGGTGGCAGTGGTTCTACCAATGGTATAGTCATAACTAGCTCTTGTGGCTCTGCATTAAAGACCTTAACAACATATAACATTTATTCAATAAGTTGAAAGAAAATATTGTTTATTCAAAAGTTTATTCTCACCTGTTTTCTTGTTATTTTAAAATATTCTGAGTGGTACATGTAGTTACTTTCTGGGTCCTCTATCCAAAGCCAAAAGGTTTCAGCAAATTTTCCATGGACTTTATCATTCCATCTGAATAAATATTGTGTACATTGGAATATATTATGAGATGGCAAAATAAATTTACAATCTTTGTATAAATAAAATTAATATAATTAATATAATCAATATAATGTATATATATATATATATATATAATTAAATTAAATATATTCATAAATATAAAAACCATGAAACACAATACCGAAAGTTTGCTGTGATTTGCAGGCGAATCCTCAGAACAGTTCTAGTAATTGGTTGCAAATTTGCAGACATTTCTAATAATGGAAATTCATCTGCACATTTTTTTACCAGTTGCCCCATTTTTTGGTGTCTTACAATCTCACCTGAAAATTGTTTGGTTTTAGTATAAAAAATAATAAATCTTCATTTTTGTGAACACCAATAAATTAAAGTTTACATTAAAGCCTTATTTTTAATATTAAATTTACATGAAAAAATTCAGTGAATACCAATAAATTAAAGTGTATAATAAAGTCTATTTACCTATTTCCTTAGTTTCCATATCTCGAATTTTATCTATAGTAAGTCTTCTATTCTCAATTTTACTAAGCACATCTTGGGGTATGCAAACAAATTGATTTAAAGGATTTTGATAATCCCATAATCGTAATTCTAACATTATTGCTACATTCAATAATCTACCAGCCATCAAGGGGTTATTGCGTCGCAAAACAATTTCAAAAAGAGCTCTTGCAATACGTACTGCATTCTAAAAATTAAATATAATATATAAATAAAAATTTAAATATTAATATTCTGATTAGAATTTTTTTGTTGCTAAATATTTTATAAATTTACCTGTGTAATGTATGATAAATCAGACATTAAACTAAAAGATTTCACAGATCCTCTTGATAAATAAGTTTGCAATAAAATATTAACTTTTCCATGAAGGTTTTCACTTCCACCAGACACAGGCAGATAGCAATTATCTTGTGTCAAATCATCTAACTCTTGCATTTCGTCATCTCGAACTAAATTTATAACATATTTTTATAATGTTGTTATTTAATATTGCTATTATTATACTATGTTAATTATTTAACATTATGTATTTGAACTGAAAACTCACCCTTCAATTGTTGAAATTCTTGTGCTTGTGAGATCATTGAAAATATTTCTCCTTCAGACATAATGGGTTGCATTACTTCATTAAAGACTTCTACTGTATCGTATTTTATATAAAAGTGACTAGCAGTTCTACCCAAATCTGCAAAAAGTAATGTATTTACATTAACATTTAGGTTTACATATAAACGCATATAATATAAAATATGTATAGTAAAATTTAATTTTATTAAAACAATTTTAGTTGATTTTATGCCCATATTTTCTAAATAAATTAAAATTAAAATATTAAAATTAAATAATCAATAGAAGCTTGTAATAAAAAATAAATATTAAATACCTGTAGCTGCTAAATCATTGGTCTTGTAATTAAATCTAATCATACAAGCTTTATCAAGAGCATTTGCAGCTGTTTCAATTATTTCCCTACGTTTTTTATCCAAAGTTGGATCATCAATAACATCTTGATAATTAATACCATACACCTAAAATATATTAAAATATTACTTGACTACTATTTAAAAAATATATAGATGTTAATACAAATAAGTTTACAAACCTGAGGATTTATACGCATCCTTACAAACAAATATGTATAACTTAACCATTCTATAGCCTCTTCAATATTACTAATGGTACCCAAAACAATCTAAAAAATTGTATTTAAAAAATTTATAAAATAAACCATATATAATTGTATGTATACAGATATTTGAAATTAAATTACCTCTGCATTCAAATTATCAGCCAGACAGCTCACAAAATTGCTTTCAATGGGAAATTGATTTGTTAGTAAGGACAAATAATGGTTAAGCTTATTATGGCTGGTAATAATGATACCACTTCCTGAATCATCAAACTGCGGTCTTCCAGCTCTACCAAATATTTGCAAAACGTCCAAAATTCCGAGGTCGACAAAAGTACCGCGTTCGGAATCGTAGATTTCGGTTCCCTGGACAAAATTTTCAAATACATAAATACTTATATACAATATAATATTCAATGCATTTTTATATTTGAGCATACCCTAATAATAACAGCATGAGCAGGTAAATTGACACCCCATGCCAATGTGGATGTACAAACCAAAACTTTTATAAATCCTTCCGAAAAGTACTTTTCAACCAGTGATCTTGAATAAAAATTTGAAAATAATAAAACAAAAGTAATGTATTCTTAATTGCTAGATACTATACCTATCACTTCTTAGCATTCCAGCATGATGCATAGCAAATCCATGTGGAAACAAATCACCTAATTGCTTGTAACGAGATTTACTAACTATTCTTAAGGCTTGACTATAACCTTGACTTGGAGTTGACTCAAATGCTTTGAGTACTCCTTTTTGTTGAGCCATTTCTTTTAAAACATTTGCTGTACGAACAGTAGCATTACGGGCATGCACAAACACCATTACCTATTGATCAAAATATTTTTTAAATAAATTATATTAATAAAAAATATTCTTTCAAAATATCTAGCTCACTTGATGGCCTTTCTGGACCATGTCTAGACATTTTTCAAAACATATAGTATCCATGTCAGCCATCTGTTGCAATGGTTTCAGAGCTTTCACACCAATAAAGGTTTGACTTAAAGGCACTGGTCGAAATCTTGAATCAAAGTAAAATAATCCTATATATGGATTGACCCTCAAAAATCTGAAATATTTAAAAGATCAGATCAATATTCTTCTTAGTTCGTTACATTTATTGCTTCAAATAAAAACCTTGCAACATCTAAGTAGTTAGGTAATGTGGCAGACAATCCTACAATTCTTATCATAGATTGTGATGATTCTACAAGCCGTAATGTTCTTGCTACTAAAGCTTCAACCACGGGTCCTCTGTCTCCATGTAATAAATGCACTTCATCAATAATAAGCAATTTTACTAATGTGGCTAGTGATACATCTCCTGTAATACATGATAAGTAATTATATGTCCAAGAAACAATTTCTAAAGTTATTTTTAGATATACCTGTTGCTTTCCTAGTGACTACATCCCACTTTTCTGGTGTTGTTACTAGCATTTGTGTTTCCATCATTTCTGATTTCGTTAATTGCATATCACCAGTCAATTCTCGCACAGACATTCCTAAGGGTGATAGTCTTCTTGAAAAATTACTGGCCATTTCTGCTGCTAAAGCTTTCATAGGTGCAACATATACGATCTAAAAATAAGTAAAAAACTAAAAATAGTTAAAATAATACAATAGTAGAAGTATTCTTTCAAATACCTTAAATTGATCCTTTTTTATGACATTTTGTTCCATATGCTGCCTAATTTGATGAACTATGGTCAACATAGCTACATTTGTTTTACCTGCACCAGTGGGAGCACAAATTAATAAATTCTCATTAGTATTGTAAGCTGCATTAAAAACTACAGATTGAATTCGATTCAAAGTCCGTATCCCTTGGAATGCCATTTGTCCCACCTAAATTTATTATTCAAAAGACCATATTATTGAATTTAATTTAAATATTAGTATTAGTTTAATTTAAATATAGTTTTGAACTTGAGCCCAATAGTAGTATATTGAAATAATATGAATAATTAAAAACAAAATTAAACCAATTTAAAAATAATGCGATGCATGTTCAATCAAATTAATAATTATTGAGAGAAATATTACCTGATCCATGTTTTTAATAGGAAATAGAACTTTTCCAACTTCTTCAGGTGCTTTTGGATTCACTGGTATAATCACCTCTTCAAACATTTTATTGTCAATTCTTTCTACATTATCAGGTAACAAGACTTTACCCCCAGTGAATATTCCAGCTTTAGTTTTTGCCTCATTTTGAGAATCATATACATTTGGATAAACTATTTTCTGTTTAGCCATAGACTTTTTTACTAGCATAGGTTCAGTATTTGTTTTGGATGCAGAAGTTGCCAGTCTACAAGAAATATTTAGTAAATTAATTCAACATACCGGTTTATGAATGTATATGTTCGAATATTCAATAAATGTGTTTATTCAAAGGTATAACATCTTTCATTAGAAACTTGTAAAACAATAATTTGATTATCAATAGATATCTTAGTATTATATTGAATAAATGCCCTTGAATAAATGACTGAATTTGGATACATTGCAATATAATTAGTAAAATTATTAAGTGATTAGAATCAAACAAAATGAGTAACAAAATTTTACTTTATTCTTATTCTTATTACACTTAAACTTATTCAAAACAATCAATTTAATTTAATTATAAAAGTATAAAAATTAGTATGTCTTTGGCTAACAAATAATAGTTAAAATTGAATAGCATTTGCTTATTCAATTAGTCCTTTATATAATACTGGTTGCATTATGAGTATTCTCAATCTCAATCACAATGTATCCAACAATTCATGGTACATCAATAATACCTTCGATTTCTTATTTCAAATGGCCTTATATCAGATTCTGAATCAGAATCATCTTTATTCTTGTTTCTCAATCTCATTTCTTCTTTATATTTTTTCTCTTCTTTGCGGGCCTGTTTCATTAATAACTTTTCTTCTTCCATTTGCACAATAACTTGTGGTCCAAGAGCAGGTTTTCTTTCGCTCGCTACTAAATTAAAGAGATATATATGAATTCTGTAGTTTCAATGCATTAATATATAAATTTAATTTATTTGAATTTTTAACAAAGTACCTGTTCCATTTTGGAAATCTTTTATATTTCTTTTAGTTTCATGTTCATTCTTTATATTGTCAATGATATATTTCCTCTTCTCCAAAAGTAATTGAATGAGTTCAAATCTGAAAATACAATTTTATGAGTATATAATGAACAAGTTTTTAAAAATGAAATATACTTAATCCTAAGTACCTATCAAATCCCAGGAAGTCAAATAATTCATTTTGAAGTTCATCATTACTTTTGTTACTTTGTAACATTACCGCAACTGAATTAGTATTTTCTTCCTTTGTTAATCCTGTTTGTAAATTATTTAATTGCTTCTCCAACCAACTTCTTCCATACTAAAAGATAATAATTATTATATTTATTTGAAAAACTGTGATGAGTGAGAATGAATACAATGCTTACTTTATTTTGATCTTTAGAAGAGCATGCAGCTTTAGAAGCATTATCATTTTTCTTGTAAATCATTGAAAAGTCATCAATGATTTTACTTTCAGTAGGACTATAAACTTTTAAATCTTTTAAAAAACTTGTGTCTACTTCATATGAACTGGGTATAAAGCATTTTATATGCGAACCCCATAAATGTACTTCTTTTGTCTCTTCAGAATCGGCTTCCAAATACCTTAGAGATTTCTCAGGTACCATTGAACATATCTTGTTGACCAACTGAAGTATGAATAATAAAATAAATAAAAACAATATTAAACATGCATTTTCATTGCAAAATTATTACTTGGCACAACTTATTTGCTATATCAGTTGGCACAGGACCAAACATTTGTTTCAACTGTGATAAATGCTTTAATAGCACTACTTTTTGCCTTAAAAATAATCTAAACAAAAATATTGCTGCATCATCAATTATTTCTGCTGGTTGTTCTTCTCCTATAATAAAATAAACAAAGTATTTAATCAAATGCATCATGTCACAATAACTGGTATAGAAAATACCTGCTATCATTTGTGCATTATTCCGTAACTCTGTTAACAATCCAGTGACCTCAGTTTCATTCTTCAAATATTCTTTAAGTTGTGACCATGTAACTCCACTATAATAATGGTTTAAAATAATTAATAGATAAACATTATACGCTAAAATTTCTATAGTATATTACCGTTTTAATTGATTTTCTCTCCATAATTGTTCCTTAATTCTTTCGGAATGAGATAATTTTAAACATCTCGGTGGCTCTAAAGATGTATAAGCTCTCATAGATCTAGTCAAACGTGGAAATTCTGCCATCTTCATCTAAACACTTTAAGATTAAAAATACCAAGCGCAATTATTATTGCACAACTGTGTATTAAATTATGAAATGTTCTCACTCAATTTTGAGGTTATAACGTACCGAAACCTTTCTGTATAAATTGGGCAGTGCTGGTAAAGTAATAAAAAACTAAATAAAGTATCAAAACTGTCTAATAAAAATAAATATTAGATAAATTTATATATCTAAAGTAAAGAAATATTGTAATAAACACGAATACAAATATTACTAACAGGTACTAAGTGTGAAACAGAAATGACATCCATGAGGATAAATGACATTTGACTAAACGTCAATTACACAGTTGGCCATATAACGAAAAAAATAAGGGTTACCAACTTAAATATATCCCGCAAAAATCGTTTGAATTCAAACGCAAAAAATATAAGAAATTAAATATTAATTACAGATATATTGTTTGCAATTATTATATTTTGAATATGTTTATTATTTTGAGATTCTTAACAATATTTTATTCGAAAGAAATTCATAGGTAATGTTTATCTATTAAATATAAAAACCATCCCCAAAGAAATTTAAAATTTAGAAAATAATATGTGATATAAAATTTGTTATTCATATTTATTTAAAACTTCAAAAAAACTTCAAAAATAAAATGTGATACAATATTATATTTTTTTTTATTTATTGTTTATTTGTTGCCTTTGTATACACGTACATTAGCCATATACATATTATAATTCTAAAACATCTGTGTTAAGAATGGTTAGATATTAATAAAAATAAACAAACAAACTAATATATTATAAATCATAAAAATTCCAATAGATTTCTAAGAGAATAGATCAGCATATTATATTATTAATTCCAATAACCCTAAACAATTTAAATGTATGTTCTCTGTGAAAAAGTATAAGGATACTTTTTCTAAGCAAATATTGAATGAAATAATTGAATTGAAAGTGCTGAAGATTGATTAAATCCTTCAAATCAATAATATTATAGTCCAGTCATTTAAGCTTAAACTAGGTAAGAATCTCGGAACTCGAGATACCAAGCTGCAAGTCTGTAAATACCCTAAAATAGCACCCTAAAAGTTGCCTCATAATCTACTACCACATGTAGGTTTTGAGACAACTTTTAGGGTGCTATTTTAGGGTATTTACAGACTTACAGCTGGGTATCTCGAATTCCGAGGTGAACTTACTATAATGACTGGACTATTATACATAGAATAAATTTGTGATAAAAGCAATTCATTGAATAGTAAGAAAATCTCATTTGGCATGGCAAATATCTCGAGCACGAATAATTCGGATGGCGTCGCGACGTAAGAGCGAGCGCAGGGCATGACAACGCGCCTATCGGGAACGTCAGCCTCCTAGAATAACTCAGGACGAAAATATCATCAGATGGACTACTGGGAGAGGGGCCTTGTGGGTACATCCACCAAATTAATTTTGATGATCGTAGTTTCATTTAAATATGAATAAAAAAATCAAATAGACTTCAATAATATTTTCAAGTACTGCAATTATTTAAGGAAATTGTAATTATAGTGGAGTTCCTATAGTCAAGTATGGTCTTACTAAAATTCATAAACCCAATTCACTCTTTCGTCCAATTGCTGCAGATAACAATTCACCTATGTCTTCGTCCAACATCCAAAATAAATTTCATTTCCAAATAACCACGTACTAATCCTAAAATTCATAAAACCGATTCACTCGTTCGTCCATTTTTTCGTCCAATTGTCGCAGATATCAATTCACCTAATTAAAAATTATGCAAATGCATTAACAACTCTCCAAAACCTGCTACTAAACAACCTACTTTTTCCTTGAAACAAATCTTATGACTTTGTCCAAAATTGAAAATAAATTTTATTTCCCCGTACCAGGTACTAATCCGATTCACTCTTTCGTCAACTTTTGGTCCTATTATCGTAGATATTAATTCACTTCACGACAACCAAATACTGCCAAATACATTAACAATTCTCTAAACAACCTCCATTTGCCTAAAAAAAATCCTATGAATTTCATTTCCAAATAACCACTAATCAGTTTAGATGTAGTTTCCTTATTTACTAATGTCTCACCTAAATTTGTTCTTGAGTATAGAATAAATTTTCGATATATCGCTACACATTAGTCCAGACACATAGAAAAATTTACCATCTCAAATACTTACTTCAAATTTATAGGAAAATTCTATTTCCTTTTGCTCGCCTATGGGTTTTCCCTCTTTGGCAAAAATCTATTTTAACCTATAGACAATTTTAACCACTTGCAATAAACATATATTTTATTATGGATATATTGATGATATCATAACATCAAATTAAATTGCATGGAACCAAAAAAGTTCATCAGGACACATGCCGATTCTACTTCTCTTGTTGGCTCAAGAAACTTTCATGTAGAAACCATAGCTCAAAAGTGAATTTTTAGCCAGCGAAGTTTTCAAAAAAGTTTTTCTTTATATAATTATGTACAAAAAAAACAAGCTTAGTAGTCTCGAAATTTGATGGTCATAGAATTGATGAGCAAAACTTAGCTGACCATATTTTTTATTTTATATCGGTTCAACTTCTGTAGAATTAATTCTACTTGAAAGAACTTTTTTAAAAAATCGCGACAATTCTAGAAAATTGCTTCCAGAAAAATGCTGGACGCATGGTGGAGATCAGGAGTTGTTCTAGCCAATCCAGAGCGCATCAATGAAACAAAGTCCTTAAAATATTATAAGCATATGAGAAGTGGTTTGAAAAATCTTAATAACAAAATAAACATTTAGAAAATCATTCTAAGTATTTATTTCAAAATTATTGCATCGAATATTCTTTCGCAAGCAGGCTGTCTTCAAGTCGGTGCTGATCGCTGGACGCGAATCGCTAAACATCACACATGAAATTGCTGACCCAAAATATACAAGTACATCTGACAGTAACATAAGGCCAAATTTGAAAAAATTAATTATTTGAGTGAATTTTGACCATTTCGTGAGAAGATTTAAATCTTCTTTAATTAAGTTATCAAGTGAGATATTTTTGCAAAACTTGGAAATTTGAAAAATAAGTGATATCCAAGTGGTTAGAAAAAATGCATTTAAATTGATCTTAGTGTACATGATTTAGGAACTATTCTTGTGGGAATTATAAGCATATATCAGGTAATATTATGAGCATAATAATTACGCAAAATAATGTATGTTATATGGTGGTTTATGTTTCGTTATTGTGATGTTCAAAAAATTAAGTAGAAAATGGTCATCTAAACCAACTAACAAATATTTTTGTGTAATGATGCATAATTTACCCATAATATTAACCTTATGTACAGAATTACATTGCAAGATCTAAAAGTCAGACACAACTACTTTGACCATCATAAAAAATTAGTCATAATAAAAAAATCACATTCAAAAATCTAATAGAAACAATATAGTACATGTATATTTAGTTAGTTGTATATGTGTTTTGAAAAAATGTATTCGCTATTTTCTTTGTAAAGCTATTTTTAACGTAAACTTGATCTCAATGTCGAAGTTATTTAGAATTTTACAGCTTTGGTATAAAGTTTTATAAATAATACAATATCCAACTCACGACAAATGTTGTGCATTTATGTATAGAAATATTTTAAAAATAAATATGTGGTATTTCTGAGAAAGAAGAACACATTTTGCTATAAGATATATGATTACTTTTGCCTATGTAACATGTATATGTAAATACAGTTTTTTTTCGACGTTGAAACACATTTGATATAATTTAGCATCCAACTCATCAAATTAAAAAATGCATTAGTATTTAAACTTCTTCATTTAAACGATTTTTGCACTTGATATGTGTGTGGAAGAATATAACACAAGAGTTTATAATAATTTAAAATAAAATAATTTAAACATAAGTTTTAAAACATTTTTTAAAATTCTAATTAATAAACACAGCAAAATAACTATAGTTGCAAATTAAAAAATAAATATTAAAACATTCAATTTTGTTCAATAAATGCTTAGTCAGTATTGTTCTCCCTGATTTGCTGAATGATGGCACATATCAAGTGTCGAAATGTTTGAATAAAAAAGTACAAATACTAATCCATTTTTTTATTTTTTTTAATTGGCTGCTATTTGAGGTATATGATACAATTAATAAACATATACGTATGTTGGAAAAATAAATAACCCATATTTTTGATTGTGACTTGATACAAATTTAAAATTGCAGATTTAAAAAAAAAATGCGTTGACTAATTCAATATAATTTAAAGTTATAAAAAAATTTAAGTTTTATAATCATTAGAAAGTAAAGTAAAATGATATAACACATTATAGGTGAAGTACAATCTTTAACTTCCCAAAAATAAAACCTTTTCAAAATAGAAAATCTTTTTTCTTTTTTAATGCCCGCAACAGGTGCTAGTATTGTATTTATAGACCTAAATCTGAATGAAAAGAAATACATTTAAAAACAAAAAAACTAATTTGTATTCTTACGATTACCGAATACCTATGGTAAAATTATTACTTCTGTTATGTGCTAATTTATAAAAAAATATAAATATAATTCAGCCTAGATTTGCAATCATAACTTTCAAAAATTCTAATACATATTTGATTACATATGATATTATATTTAGTTTTGCATATCTTTCACAGATTGGGTGATATTATTATATTTTAAGATGTATTATGAAACATTTAATTTAAGTTTAAGTATCACAATTAATAAAGTGACAAATAAATTTAATATATCTATTACTTTCTTAACTGAAATTTCGTTGTTTACAATATAACTTAATCCCGGCGTTGCTAAATCAATTAGAAGCGCAAATATTATTTATAGCACAATGTTGATCTATCAAAGTTTCTCATAGACTGTTTGCGATTCTTGTAAACATTCGAAATTTCTTATGTAAACGCTAATTCTAAATTACTGAAAATAGCCCCATTGTTGTTATCTTATTGGAGCCATATTGCAGAAGAAACAATCTTTACCAGAAACTAATCAGCTTTGATAACAAATGATTCAGAATGACTTGGAACGCTGAGAAATCATAAAATTAGCAAATTGGATTTTTTGACAAATTCGGAAAGTTAAAAATAGAAGAACATCTAAGTCTTTTTAATAAAATTTAATTAAGGAGCATTTATTTATAAAATTTATATATGATTATCAAATCCTAATGGTCAACGCCTCACATGTATTAGCCTAAAGTGGCCAAAAGTAATAAATATCATATCTTCATAGGGGCAAGATTTTAAAGAAATAAATTACTATTAATCATTTACTAATAGGTTTTAATGAAATTTAATATCTTCTTAAATGATTCACCTCGCTGACGTTATGTGTATCCTCACATAAAACCAACATGTTAATTAAAGAAAAGTATGTACAGTTGCCAAAATTCAACTCGGAGACGTATGAAAACATATTGTAACATTTCTTTATATTTACTACGTTGACATAATTTTGCTTTTAAAAAAATTTGATCGTTTTCAACTTTGGTATACAAATAACTAAAATTAAACGCAAAAATGTAATAAAACACAACTTCTGTAAATAGAATCTAAATCAAATCTATATTTACTTCTAACAATCAAATTATTGCCAAAGTGTTTTGAAATGAAATGTATTGCTTCTACTATTATAGAATAAATATTTTGGTATAATACACAGGATGCCCATTGGGAGCAATCCTCCTGTGCGTGCTGCAGGCAGACCGCCATGGGTTAGAGATGGGCCAAAGCCAATACCGGTGCCAGCTGCACCATGGACATTAAATAGACGAGGACAACAACAGGTGCAGAAGAAAAACATTTAAATTAATAAATCAATCAAATGCAATTACATGTATTTATTAATTTTAAGCAAGGAGAAGATGGTCAGACATCTCAAGCAGCAGCTCAACCGTCACAGACGACGCCCAGAAAAACTACACAGATTACAATACAACCTGCTGAGAACGGAGCACCAAAACAGGTAATATTTAATAATATCCTAGTTATATCAATATATTAATCTCGTGATATTTAGATCTAAAGATACAAATATTATTTAAACCATCCATAATTTTGTATCAGGCTAAACTACAATCTCGTGAAGTAAAGGTGCCTATAGTAACCGAAAAACCCGCGACTAAAATAACGACGTCAGTCAGAAAGAAATCGAACGATGAACCACCTCCAGCAGCAAAGAAGGTCGAAGCTACACCAGAACCGCCAAAACCTAAAGTTGAAAGTAAAATCAGGACACAAAATAGGCAGATACAAGATAAAGAAGAAGCTAGGGAGACATTAGAGAAAGTAATTCCGGTGCAGAGGGTTAAAAGTTTAGCAAAACAGGATAGTATTAAAGGTAAGACCAGATGGATTAAACATTAAAGTTTGGGTCACTTAAGAAGCACACATTGTATTATTTTTTCATTATTTCAACAGGTCCACCAATAGGCCCGCCATTGCCACCTCCTCCACCACCGCCGCCTCCAAATGCACCACCACCAGATTTTAAGAAAAAACCAATAACAGAACAACAAGCTAAAAGATTGCAAGCCCTTAGGTAAAAAATAAAATAAAATAATTTAGTGTTGAAGAAATGCCACGAATTCAATTCAACAAACATTTAATTTGTTATAGTTATATTTTAGTGAATCTGTTCCAATTTCAGATCAAGGCCCAGGAAGCGTCCAGATTGGACAGACATGATGAAAGAAGTTGAAAGTGGCCGCAAATTGAAGCATGTCGAATGTAACGACAGGTATATTAATTACAACAGTTTTTAAGAAGGAGAAACTAATATCACAAACATTTCTGTTAAAATTAACAGATCCGGACCAATACTTTCCAAATCAATGTTGTTTAAAGCAAAGGGCTCGTTTGTATACGAGTCAGAAAAGGACAATGTTCACAATAAACTGCTTAAACAAATTCAATTTGGTGTTCCGCTTAAGAAAGTTAAATGCAACGATAGAAGTAAACCAATCCTTGATGGGCTCAGGAAGTTCAGGAGGCAGATGACCATAGAAGAACAAATTCAAAAATCGCAAAGTCAGGCAAATTTGTCAGAGGTATTTCAACATTAAATGTTAAAAGCATTTAAGCTATTTGTAAAATGCTTTTACTGTGACTATTCACCTGCTACTGCTATTTAACTCTTAAACCAACTAGTATAGATAGTAAATAGATTACATTAGTTATTAATAAATGCAATATTTTATAGTTCAATATAATTATTTCAGCCCCCTGTAGAAGAAGATGAAGTTGACGAAATGGATGATATTGATAAAGTTCGAGATGATCTTCAAAGTACAAAACAACTCTTAGCATTAGAATTAAGGTAAAATAATTAATTCATATATTTTCTATGAGTAGAAAATTTTATGGATCAATTCTCAAAAAACAAATCTAAAAAGATTCTGGATACCAATATTCGAAATTTTAGGTGTATTACATTTATTTGCTACTAGATATTGATAAAATCGTTAAGTGATAGTACTGTGAAAAAGTAGACTTATTCCATTTATTAAATCTTAATTAATAATCATATTACTTATTAGAAATAAAGAAGCTCAAGTGCGAGAAAATAAGCGTCTTTTAGCACGTATACAAAATTTAGAAGCCGAACTAGAATTGGAAAGAGCTAGGGTGGCTCCTCAAGAAGTTAAAACAGCAGGTTCTGCACCAGATGAAACTCTTATTAAGGCTCTTAAGGTAATTATAGAAATGAAAAGTTTTTACTATACTCATTGTTAATTTTTTTTTATTATTACTGATTCAACAATAAAAAATGTTTTCTTTAGAATGAGGCAAGTGCAGCAAGGAAGCATGCAGAAGATTTGGAGACTAAATATCAAAAGGCTGCAGAGATGTTAGACAACGCCAAGAGCAATTTAGAAGAACAGAAGAAACAAAATGCACTCTTAGAGAAAAAATTACAACAAGCTCTTCAGGTAAGAAAAATTAATATTCTATATTCCATTTTTTCGTCAGTATTCGAACAGCGTCGATAATAGATTATGAATAATTTAAATGAATACAAGTTTATCTAATAATTGTTGTCAAAAACAGGGTTGTCAGCGCTTAATTAAGGAGGAGATTCCAAAACGCAGAGTTTATGATTTTGAACCTGATAGCGATATGGTAAAAAATGCTTGCCATAAATAATAAAGCGTCATTTCTTGTAGAACTTATAATCATAATAACAAGTCCTAAAATATGATACCAACACTCAATCTAATTAAAAATTCGTCTTTTGTATATAGTTAGCTCACTCATTTGAACTCATTAAGTTTTTTTATACAAATAAAAATGTATTAATGGAGTCACCCACCACTTTGTCATTTTTCTTCATAAATTTTTGATTAGTATTTTAACATATCTAATGTTCATTATAAAATGCCACTAATATTTAAATGTCTTTGATGTTGTACTCAAAAAGTGGATGTGCCAATCGTTTTGGAAAATTAAATGTTACTTTGTATTAATTACTAATAAATGTTCTTTAACAACTTAAAATATAAATATGCATAGGATACAGAATTGCGCAATTAAAACGTACACATGGCCACATAAATATTATTTGAAATTATAAACAGCCAATACACATTTTTTGAATTAATAAGAGTTAACATAAAATATGAACACATCTATCAATTTAATGCCATCTGATAGTTATCAAGAATAATTTAAATATTGCAATCCTGCATCAAATGGCAGTCTAGCACAGCAAAATATATGGAAGATGTTACACATGTTTGAAAATATTTACATTTACATAATGTCCAGATTTTCTAATCACATTAAAAAAATGTAGATATATACATGTATTTACACTGAACCAAATAAATATTCTGAAAACAATGCACTCATACAAAATTAAATAAATGTATCAGGATTCAAAGAATGATACACGAAGGGCAAGCGAAGCACCAAATGCACAAGAGCCAGAAGAAGAAGAGGAAGAAGTGATATCAGAAACAGAATCAGATAGTGATGATGATGAAGAAACTCGTAAGGAAAAGGCAGCTAAGAGATTACAGAGAGAGGTAACTAGAGTATTAAAATAATCTAGAGTATTCATTATTATTACTTCTTAAATACAATTGTATTCTAATTTTTGTATTTCCAGATCAAGATGTTAAGTACCAAACTAAGGAATTATAAAGATAAGCAAGTTGTGGCCAAAAAGGAGCGTAAGGCACTTAAAGATTGCTTCAAGAAACAACAAGTTGCTTTAAAGTAAATTTTAAATTGAATTATCATTAGAGGAGATAATTACACAAATTTCTTTTTCAGGGAAGAGAAAAAGAAATATAAGGAGTTGCAAAAAGAAGTAGATAAAATGGCAGCATTGATGAAGGATGCTTCTGATGATGAAGAAGAGGAATCATCAGAAGAAGAGGAACCAGAAGAAGAAGAATCAGAAGAAGAAAGTAGCGAATCTGAAGAAAGTGAATCAGAGAGTGAAAGTGAAAGCGAGGATGAGGTATTTTAAAATTGACTAAAATTTGCTCATAATCATTAATCATATGCTTTCCATTATAAAATTAATATATAATGCAATGTAGTAAGTGTAATAGTTATTGATTGATGAATTCAGAATGAAATTTAATATTTCAATGTAAATCCAATAAGGACACCTTGTTGTAATCCTCATAAAATTAATGGTATTGAATTTTGCAGCTGCAATATGTACTTTACAATATTAATTCATTTTACAGGATGCTACAGATGAACAAAAGAAGAAAATGCTTGAAACAAGAGCAAAACGGCATGAGGGCATCTTGAATGCTCTGAAGAAAGGAAACTATTTATTAAAAGCTAATGTAGATCGACAAAGAGATGACCTTAATAAGCAAAGAGAAATGTCTATAACTCTACAAGAAGATTTAAATTCGGTTCTTTCTGAACTTGGCTGATCCTTACTTTACATATCATAAAAAATATAAATTATATTAAAATCTAGGCTTTAGCATAACCATTTAAAGTGCAAATATGTTACAAGTATTTTTTAAGCAATTTTAGCTGATTTTTTAATGTTATAAACATGTTAAATTCAATTTTGATAAAATAGATATAATGCACTTTTTCATTATAATACATGTGACCAGCTTATATAAATTCAAATTATGCAAATACCTTAAAAAAATGGTTATAAATTGAACATCTCTGCTTGTGAGTTAAATGCTTTTTATAAATAAATATGTATCATTTTATGTATAAATATTATAAAAATGATGATGTATTTGGATTATAATTTATAAAAAAATAAATTTCTATTGATGTAAGCCCAATTATATTAATACAAAATAATTAGGGTCTTATTGCTTATATTATAAAATGTCTTCTACATGTGAAACATCATAATCCAATTATCTATACATAAAACAATTATAAATTTTAAATTTTAATTATTTACCTACATTTACACCTAGCCTTGTATTCTTACATACATCATATTCAGTTCGTTAAATAAAATCAAACATCATCAATATTGTCTTAGAAATTCTATTCTGATAAGTAAACACAGTCACTATCATAGTCATCATGGTCTGGTTCAGGAATATGTGTCTTTATTTTATCACCATCAGAAAGGGATAATGTTATTGGAGTATCAGTTGAGCGGATTCGCCTTCCTTTGTGATAAAATCTGAAATGTATAATAGAACATAAATTATGATGAACTAAACTATCAAAAAGAAGATGGTTATAAATAGTTTTGTTTTCTATGTAATGTCATAATAGATACACATATGCTTGAAGGAATGAAGGTAATGAATTGACAATGTTAAGTTAAATAAATTTAAATGAAATGTATAATAAATGTGCAGTGATCAACATTGTTATGATAATGAAAGGATTATTAATATACTTTTAGTTAAAACTACCTCAGAATTCACTTTTGAGACAAATATATTCAGATGTCAGTAAGCATGATTAAAAGTAAAGCTAAAAAGTATTCTTTGGTTTACAATTGTATTGTTGTGATAGCCATTAATTAATTAAATTATTGATCACTAAGTATGCCAATTCAATCTATAAGTTATTCAACATAAAGCTTATATACTTACACTAAAAAGTCAATATTTTCCAAACATTCTCTTCGGAGAAACAAATTCATTAATCTTCCCATTTGCACATTCGGTCTCATTTGGAATGGAATTTCGTTTTGGTCGGGACATATCACGGTTACATTAATAAACTTATCATTATTGATTAGATCCTATAAAAAAGCACAACCTTATGACATATTAAAAATAAGTTAAATATATAGGTATATTTAAATTATGTGTTATGCATAATACTCAGATTGCACAAATTATTATAATATGATTATAAATCAGAGCCTTTTTTATGTTTTGTCTTATTTCAGACTTATAGTTATAATTGAAACTTACCATTTTTAGTTAATTATTCAATTTCTTCACCAACACCCATAAAATCAATGATCAGCTCACAGATTTTTTGTTGTAAAATGCAAACCTTTTACCAATTATTATTTTAAGTATTAAAGAATCATAATTAACTTTTGCCTGTATGTAATATAAAATTATGTTTATAATAATTTTTAGGTTATGTTCGCACAATTAACCTAAAACTAACCTTAAAAATAAATTCGAGTCATTGGTTAACTTGGAAAGTCTATAAAGCAAATAAAACATACGACAAAGTGTTTATTTGTATAATAATAATTTATTATACTTTTTGAATGATTTCACTATCGACTTTATTCCATGTAGCAACACTTAAATATAAATTAAAAAACTATTTACCGCCATGTGACAGTTGACAGTTGTTGATACAAAACTCATAGTGCGTTTTCGCCCTAACATCCCCACTCACACAATTTTGTTTCAATACAATTACCAATGTTTGAAATCAAACTGTTGTGTCTTGAGTTTTGCAAATCTTTTTTATTTAATATTATCTAAGTACGTATTGTTTTCATTTATGTAGTTCTACCATTATGAGATATGTTAGAAATTATTCTAAAAATTATCAACGCATTTTACCAAACAGTTTATTTTATATTATTTATATCTTATTGCATCGGCGACATATTATCGAGTGCAGGTTATTACTTATTCTGGACGTTATATTATACATGCACAGCAGTTTTGGAGTTCATACAAGTTTTGGTAGAAGATTTTAATATTTTTTGCTGTGATATCTGTGAGAAACTTAATATTTTATTAATTTATATTTTTGAAAGAATAGAGAAAATTTTTTATGGAATAATTTATGGACTGACATTTCTCACTTACCTGCAAACTGCTTTATATACATCTATTTTATACTTATTTGAAGGAATATTTACATTATTGAAAAGTGGATTTGACTATATAGTATTTATATTGAGATTGCTGAAAGACGTACTTATTGCAGTAGGTGATGGAATATGGTATGCAATCTTAATCATACCAAGAACAATAAACTTCTGTATTACAACTATCTTCGATCAATTCATCTTTGCTTTCATCAATACATATCAGAAATTTAAAGAAATAATACATTACACTTGCTCTGCATTAGTACAGCTAATAAATGACATATACGTAGAGATACAGGAGTTTCCATATACGTCAATTATAGGACTTGTTGTACTTGTTATAGTCTTACATTTCTGTAACAAACATCGAAGTTTTCTGCGAAGACATTTATTAATCTTACTACGGCAAACATTCAATGCTCTTCTACAATTACTGGCTGTGATAGTCTCTCCAATCATTATATGTGCCCAAGGACTTATTTGGTGGAGACATGATAGAATCTTAACTGGCCAATTGCTACAAAATGCAGATACAGTAGATAGTGATGTTCCTGAGGCAAAATTATGTATCATATGCAGAGTAATGGAGAAAAACATTATATCATACCCTTGCTTGCATGTTTGCATGTGCCGTTCCTGTTTCATGATTCTACGTAGCAACCGTGATTATCATTGTCCAGTATGCAGGAGGAATATAGTCAGATATGATCGTATTTATTACACATAAATTAATGTAAATAAAAATGAAATAGATTTATTAGAATATTATATGAAATGAATGAAATAATTATATGAATGTTATACCTCTTTAACATAATTTATATAAATATATATTGATGAAATACATTTTTTATACCTACAAATAAATTTCTCATTCTGATGTCATACTCACACAAGTATTTTAGAAAGGCAGCCATCTAAAAACTTTCACTTAAAAATAATAAATTTAATATTTAATGTATAAATAATATAAGAATCTCATAAATAACAATGATTAAAATGCATCATATATTTAGCCTTTATTAGTAACAAAATAATATGTAATGATAAAATCATTGATAAATTTCATTTATTAATAACATACAACATCTTATTGTTAAGCAAAAACATGATGTAAGATAAATATAATTAGTTTTCCAGTTATCAAAACTAGTACAAATTTCATTTCAAAACAATATTGTATTGCAATTCTTATTTTAAACTTAAAAGATCATTCAAAACCATAAAAAACGTCAAGTTCTAGTTCAGAAAATTCATCAAGTTCTTCTAAAATAGTTTTAGCCTTTATTAATTTTCTTTCGCTTTTTGTAGAATTTTCCCCATCTGAATCATTTGTTATGGCCTCCAAATAATGTTTAACACTCTTATAGCCCTTTTCGAGTGCAACAGGTCTCAAAATTCCTGTTGGTGCATAACCCTGTCTTGTTAAACAAATGGAACAATTACAAATACCTCTACAAGGAGGACAAGACCAATTTGGGTCCCGAAGAGCATCTGCTACACTTTCCCCATATCTTCCATCCAAACAAGGACCACAAAATTGACCTCTTACACCCGTGCAAATTCCACTGCGACAAAATGTTTTTGTATCAATTGTTTTTTGACGGCATTGATGGCAACTACTGCCTTCTTTTGAATAGGTTTTCTCTATAGCTCTAACAGCAATATTATCAATGTGCCTTTGAGTGACTTCTGATACTGGTAATTCAGGAATTGCAGTGCGCCTGCCATTAAGTTTAGGAAATTTTTGAGTAAGCAAGTATTTGAAACCATGGGTGACTGGTCCAATTGTTTTCCTATGTTTTGGCTTATCATCATTATCCAATAGTTTATCTAACTCATATTCATTGTATTTCACGGGTTCACCTCTTACTCTCAAAGACCGCCGTTTCTCCACTGGTTGTGGATTTGAGTTTTGAACATATTTTCTTTTATAAACAGGTTTAGTCTTAACAATGTCTTTTGGTTTAGCCTTATCCCCATACTCATCTGGAAAAAGTTGTGCAAATATTTCTTTGTTTCTTTGAATATTTCGTTTACGAATTGCTTCTAAGCTATTATCTTGTTGTGCATCATCTTCAGATGCTGATGTCTTATCAAATAATGCTTGCAACATTTTTTGGTTTCTATCAAGATTCTTCAAACGTCTTGTTTCAATATCATCATCTTCATTTATGGTAATATCATCATCATCCATTGAATTAATTACAGAATCTAAATCGTTTTCCTCTTCCTTGGTTTGAATTTTATTAGATTCAACCAAAGAATTTTCATCATGATCACTTAAGCTTATTTTATCATCTTCAGTTAGGCTTATTTTATCATCTGTATTAAAACTTAATCTACCACATTTGATTGCATGAGACGCATTTGTTTTAGGGTTATTATCCTCATTAGAAATTTTACTTACACCAAGAAAGCTTTCACTATTTCTATTTAAGCTTTCTTCGACATTTTTATTTAAATCAGATCTTTGTTTTGAAGTAATATTAGAACTTTCATCTATTGTAGCACATTCTTCTGCCATTATAACATCATCATCTTCACTGTCCTTACTTTCAAACATCTTGCTTCCTTTACAATAAATATCTAAAAATAATTATATCTATAATATTATATTATATTATATGAAATTTATTATTTCTAATGATGACAATAAAAATTGATGGGAAACGATACTAAGACCGCCAATTCCCGGCGTTTTCCAAAATTGATATACATAAAAAACATAACAATTAAATATTAAATTATAACTATAGTTCTCATTATAACTTTATGGTTATTACCTTAATTATCATCAACATTCGCCTTTACGAAATCTTTTTGTTTATTAAAGCTGTTGTCAAAGCCGGTAAGAAATGAGCACGAATTTGAATAGTTTGAAGCAACAACACAAAGTAATGAAGGCGCATAGAGCACATTTATTTAATGGATCCTGGAGGGCGACATCGAAAGTTAATAATAAATAAATATAAAAAAAAGTTAATATAAATTTTATGTTATATTTTCGCCAAATTTAATAGAAATATGAAATGAGGAAAGTATAAATAGACATTTTGTTTGTTTGTTTTGATTCTTGGCCATTTTCTACTGCTCTTGATAAAGTGGTTTAAAACTCTTCTTTTATCCTCTACCTCTATACTCTTCTTTTATCTATGTTTTGAATTTTTACTTGTCCTTTTGAAAATTTCTTATCGATGGCTAAGCGAATATTAACTAATCAGGTGTTATTTTATGTAAGAAAAACTCTTTATCTCCTTATTTAATGGCTAGGTAGTTTACAACGAAGATGTCAGTATTGATAGTTGCATATCCTTGTTTGTTTCGAATTTATGTTTAAGTGATCCTAAAAGCCCCCCCTAGACCTAAGACCCATATTACATATTATGCCTGGGGTAAGTGTCACGTATCAATTTTTCTTTTTTCTTCTACAAGGTATCCATTAAACTAGTATTCCCTCACAGGCAAAATCTAATTTAATTAGATTGCCATTTTGCCTTAAGACAAGTTGCATAAATAATAAGAAGTCAATATATTAATATTTTACGTTATTACATACGATAAATAGATTTACATTTTTATAAGCAAGGCACATTATTCCAAATTTTGAGCTGTCCATTAATCACGTAATCGATTTTTAAGGTTTTTTGAACCCCCTTGATGACATTCAAAATTAACCCTTCATGCGTATTTATAGTTTATTCAGGAAAAAAATACACGTGATATCTTACTAGATCCCCCACGTAATATTTTGTCAACCCAATCTATCTCTTTTAAACCTCATATGATTTACTTAAAGACCCCTATGATGAATTTTTATTATTCTACTACTTATCATATAATTAGATTTTTTTAAAATGATATTTAGAACAATTACGTTACGAACTGTATCGTCATGTTAAGTTTAATTAAATGCCAGCAAATTTTTTTTAACATTTAATTTCAAAGAACAACCTGGCAGATCTTTGCCAAAAACTAATCGCCATGATTTCCAGATTAGTTGAGGATTTTTAGTTGGATCATGGAAGAAAAATGTGGCATTTTTCTGCTAATTATAAAGAAACGCGCTGGCCGATCGTTACGCAAAACTAATCCACGCAAGTCCTAATCTTTAACTCAAATATATTGAATTTTTTTGAAATTAATTAACTTATAATTTAAAGTTAATTATTTAAATAATTAGGAAATTTATATCTAAAAATATTTGTTTTTTAGTCTATAAACGTTTATAACTTTTTTTCAAAGTTCTAAAAGCAAATCATAAGCATTTATTTAAAAATGTAACAATATAAATATATACATTTCATAGAACAAACTAAAATATTTTTCAATTAATTTTAAAATTAAAGAATATATATTTTTTATTATAATTAAGTTATTTTCCTTTGAAAAAATCAAATCACTTCTTAAGGCAGTTTTCGTTATGCTCAGAATACCAATGATTTGTCTGAAAAAAACAAAATATTTATAATAATTATGTCAACTTCTAATATTAAGTAACATTAGAAAATTAACCAAAGAAAAAAGTACTAGTAAACTTAATACAAATTACCTGGCATACTTTCGAACAATAACATGTAAATTTACAATAAGCACATCTTATTTCTGCTGCTTTGTCACATAATGCGCAAAGTATTACTGGATCATGTTGCAACATAAATCGGCGGGTTGACCTGTTAGAATGGCATTAAAATATCAAGTATATGAAATAAAAATACAATAAGAACAATTCTTACTTGACCCATTGTGTTACTTCGTCTGAGAAACCACTGTCGACTGACATTCTAATATCGCTGCTAATATTAGATGAAATCTAAGTTAAAAAATGCACAATTTAGTAACAATAATAATTTTCAATAATAATAATAATTTGATAATAATTCGGAATTCTATAAAAAATTCAACACAACATACCCTATTAGATGCAATGCCGATACGTATTCCAACTGGATAATTCAGTGTTGTCTTTGTGTCTTCATCATCACTTAATTCTATGATTTCTGATTTAATGTCAATTTCACAAGGTTCCAAACAGATTTCAGATATAGGAAGCTTCTCCTGGTTAATGAGGCAATAGATTGAAAAATTGTTTATTATATGTAGATGTGAAAAGGGACCGTCCATTAATCACATGATTGATTTTTAGGAATTTTTTTAATCCCCGCCCCTTTGGTGATATTTAAAATTGTTTTTTTGTAAATTAAAGTAAATAATAAATACACATGATATGTCTCTAGCCCCTCTCCTCTTTGTGATATTTCGTGATTTTTTTTACCCTTCACCTCCTCTTTGTGATATTTCGTGATTTTTTTTACCCTTCACCTCCTTCTTTAAAGCTTCACATGGTCAATGGACAGCCCCCAAGACAATGAAACTTACCAAGTTTTCATTGATAACTTGATCATTAAATCGATTATTAGGTGAATCATTATCTGAAGTAACTATTATAGTCTCATCATATTCCTGAGTTTTTATTATATTGTTATTGGTGTTGCTTCCAGTCGGTAGAAAAGATAAAGTTGCCCCCGAGCCATTACCACTAATATTCCAACAGTTAATGCAGTTTTGTAACTTACAATTAAAGCTGCTAATTAAATCCATTACTTGTGTTTTGCTTGGACATGGTTTAGTGGCATGCCAGCTCGAACACAACTTCCTATATACTAAATTTAAAAATGAACTACTGTTCAACAATCTATCTAAACCAGAACGTAACTTTATTGCAAGTTGGAAAATTGAATTAAAAATTCGCATTTCTCTGGCTTTGTATGCTATTTTATAGTCGCTCAATAAAATTTCATACTCCACATCTCGAGTTATGGAGTCTCTGCTGGAGAAAATATTATACTGATATGTGTATTCGTCCTCAAACAAATTTCGTAGGTCAATGATAAAACCTGTAAATATTAGGTCGTCATAAATAGACGTTAAGAGTTTCTGAGAACTTGTAATTTCTGCAATTGTTCCACTGTATTTGTTCAAAGTAGGCAAAAACTCTTGAAACAATCTGCTCAATTGAAATGAATCATGAACACTTATTAAGTTTATATCTTTAGCAAACAAATAGAGCGAACACTCTGGAGAATATTCAATGGTTGGTAGTGAGACATCAACTTCTTTATGCTGATGCTCGTCAATTGTCTGTTCTGGTACAATATTAGGAGGTTGAATTTCAAGAATATCTTCTTCAATTATGATCACATCATCCTTTGCTATATTATAATCAACCGTATTTACATTGGTTGCTAATTCATTCTCTTCAGATTTACTATTTCCTTCATCTTCTACAGTTTTGAGGTTGGATCTAATAACAGTTGAATTATTATTGATACTTGTTTTATTTATAGTTTTATCTTTAAAATGTTTCGTCATCATCTGCTGTGATGTAACATTAACAGTTTGAATTTCAAGTATATCTTTGTCTTGAGTATCTTCTTCAATGATAATCACATCATCATCCATTTCTAAGTTATTGTATTCAAGAGACTCTTTACTAGATTCTGGCATACCAGGCGATTTGTGTTTGCTGCTTAGATGTTGCTCATTTGCCAGTAATGTAATATTACCTTCATCATTTGATCCCCAGCTATCACCAATGGCCGTTAATTTATGATCTTCAGATTTAATATTACTTTTACTTTTCACAATGTCGACCGTTGATTTGACAGTTTGAATTTCAAGTATATCTTCGTCTTGAGTATCTTCTTCAATGATAATCACATCATCATCCATTTCTAAGTTATTGTATTCAAAAGACTCTTTACTAGATTCGGGTATACCAGGCGATTTATGTTTGCTGCTTAGTTGTTGCTCATTTGCTAGTAATGTAATATTACCTTCATCATTTGATCCCCAACTATCACCAATGGCCTTTAATTTATGATCTTCAGATTTAATATTACTTTTACTTTTCACAATGTCAACCGTTGATTTATCATTATAATTTGTTTTATTTTCATCTGTAAAATCTGTTGTGGTTTTGTTCTCATTAAGTTTAATTTTAGATTTATTTTTCTGTTTGTTGTCTTTTGTTTTATTGTGTGTACTTGTAGTTTTTTCAGTTTTATCACCTTTGTCTTTAGAAACTATCTTCTTATTAGAAAAATTTGAGGTATTTTGATGATTTTCCATATTGCTGATGTGATCATTTCCATTTATTTCACTATCACCACTTAAAAGATTTGAACTGCTCTTGTCTTTTATGCTTGTATCTTTATTTTTAATAGTATTATTTAGTTTGTCTATTTTACTATTTTTATCTTTATCTTTGCTATTTTTTAAAACAACATTAACTTTTTCTAGTTTAGAATTATTGTTACTAGTTCTTTTATCATTTCTACTTTTATTCAATTTTTCCTCATTAATCTTATCGTTAGTTTGAATTAATTTAGTTTTATCTATATTTTTAGTTCTTATTATTGTATTATTTGGACTTTTAATATGCTTGATATTTGATTTTATATCATCATCCATTTTAATATTATTTACTTTTAAATTTGTCTTATTACATGAAACCACATTTTTCTTAATCTTATTTGATTTTTCATGAATTTTATTAATTGTATTATTGTTTGGACTTTTTGATTTATCACATATTCTGTTATTAATTTTTTTATTACTATAAATATTATTACAGTTGATATCATTCTTTCGGCATTTGTTATCCATATTTTCCTGTGCTTCATCAGAGCTCTTTTCATTAGATTTGGTGCTTACAGACATGGAACTACTTAATTTTATATAATTTTTATCGGATTTTTTGTTATTAATATTATGTTTCACTTTTTCATTATTTGAAATATCCATTTCAAAAGAATTATTATTATCTGCAACTCTATGAGGTGTACCCCTTGTATTTTTTTCAACATCTTTATGAGGTGTACCTTTGTCAATTTTTTCTGCATTTTTATAAGGTGTACCTTTTGCAATTTTTTCTGCATTTTTATGAGGTGTACCTTTTGCATTTTTTTCTGCATTTTTATGAGGTGTACCTTTTGCAGTTTTTTCTATATCTTTATGCGGCGTTCCTCTTACAATTTTTTCTGCATTTTTATGGGGTGTACCTTTTGCAATTTTTTCTATATTTGTATAAGGTGTTCCTTTTGCAATTTGTTCTGCGTCTTTATGAGGTGTAGAAAGTTTACATTTTTTAGCAATTTCATTATTAGTTTTATGTGGAGTCGAAGCAATTACTTTTGTAAATCTCTCAGTGGATTGATAATTCACATCAATTGAATGGAATTTAGAAGATTTCAAAGGCGTTTTTTCTGCCGATTGGTTTTCATTAACAGACAAAGTTGTAATATCTGAAGCTATTTCAGAAGTGCTAGTTGAACCATCTAGTTTTCTTCTTTTGCATTCATGTTCTGGATTAGGATTAAGATCAAAATAATCCGATGCTTCTTTTCGTTTGCCAGAACTTGGTGAGTTATTGTTGAAAATAGAGATTCTGGAAGCATGTTTTTTATATTCTGTCGGTATTGGCGGTGTCTTTTGATCAGAAATTGAATCATTCATCCCTTTCTCCCTTCTTGGTGTTAAATATAATTGATCAGATCTTTTATCATTACCAGAAGATATAGTATTTTGTTGATTGATTCTTGATGTTTCTCTACTAGTTGTAGGTGTTTTTTCCAACTTCGGTTGACCGGCCGTTTTTATAGACCCGCCATTTTTTTCTGTATGTGATGCGGTTTTTAACTTCTCTATACCTAACACATTATCATTATAAAACTTATTTGTAAAATTCATTTCTTTCTCAAAAAAATTTGATGATTTTGAATCATTTAAGTTGAATAATTCAGCGCGCTCTTGGAACCTTGGCGTGCAATAATTGTACTCGAATAATTCAGTTTCGAGATCATTTATATCTGAAGGTGGTGAGTATATTTCCTCATGTGAATCACTTACAAAATTACTAATGTTAATATAATGATCACCGCCATGTACGTTATTATTAATAAACTTATAAAATGCATCATTAGCCTGCGATTCAATAGAAGTTTCGACATCTGATGAAAGCATTTTAGGATCAGAAGATTCGGAACTATCATTTTTACTACTAATTTTATCAGTTTCAACAGTCTTGTTCATATAACCATGATCTTTACAAATTTCTTTTATAAATGTATCATGTTTATTAGTTAACTTATACATTTCTTTAGTATTTGCCTCTTTATTATGATCTCCATGTAAGGAGTTGACATTTGTACACTTATTGCCATTATTATCATTATCTCTAATAACAGAAATATTAATAGCACTACTAGTATCCAAGTTAGAACTATTTGGAGTAGATTTCAAATTTTGCAAGTTCTTATTATGATGAGGAGTATATTTATTGCGAATATCACATTTGCTTGTTTGTTGATACATGGTATTTGGGGTTTTATTATTTAATTCAAAGTTTAATGATTCTGAACTTGTTTTTTCTAATGTATTTTTGATAATCGATTCATCAGTTTTTATGGAAATAAGATAAGAATTTTCTGATAAGTGACTTATATTGTTTGAAGTGTTGTATATTTGTTCAATCGAAACATTACCTTCACTTGACACAGGTATTTTATTTGTATGATTTAAATCATTAATTGCACTTGACTTAGGTATCTGATTTGAATCACATTTATTTGAAAACTGAATTTTATTGTTATTGTGAATCACTAAAGATTTATCAACTACGTTACTACAATTTTCATTATTTTGTGTAGGCTTATGGGTTACATTATTAGATATATTGTTACTAGATACGTTATCAGATATGTTTGACGGTGTTTTACAATTGGATTTGTTTGATGGTGTTCTATCATTTGATGTAAAATTAATATAATCTGATTTTGGTGTTGTATACCTCTTGGCGTGAAGTGCATTGTCATTCGCATAAGAAATTGCTTGGTTGTAATGCATTGAATAACTATCACAATATTTATTGTTGAGATTAGAATCATATCTATGTTGCCTTTGAGATCTATATTGACCAGTTTGATTCATTGGCGGGTTTTGAAAATGATAATAATCATTGGGCATTGCTTGTTGATCATAATTATTCATGTTATATCCATGAGAATAGGATGAATATCTTCTGTGCCCTTGTCTAGATAAGAATTGATTTCTTGAATCATAATAATAGTCTCCATATCTGGCACTAAAGAATAATAAAATAGATTAGTTTTGGAATGAAAGGCCACTAATGCAAGTAAAATCTCTCTAATAATCGAAATCTCTCTAATTATCGAAAGTAGGACTTAATGAATACATTAAACATATAATTGTATATTTTAATTTTCTTATGAAAGTTGCAATGTTACGTTAATCAACAACAACAAATTTAAGGAATTAAATATTTAAATAAATATATTATAAGATGGAAGTAGAAACTTATGAAGTATTTAATACTAGTGTAAACTTTTAACAAAGATAGTATCCAAATACTTCCATGAAGTATATATAAAAATAAATCAATTTAATCCACAAATCAACAAAACTAATAAAACACAACAATGCACATTTTAGGTTTACTTTTTGTTTACATATTTTGAAAGTTTTTGTGATAATAAAAATATAATCTTATGGAAATTTTCTATTATCATTATTTATAGAACTGTACTTACTTCCACATATCAGCTCCACTATTTATCCGATTGTTAAAATATTGTCCTGTATCTGAAAGTATCACTCAAGTATCTTATTACAATTTATAATAATAAAAACACGTCCATTATAAAATGTACTAAATATATTTTAAACTACACGAATCACAAGAAAATAAATAAGTTATGAGTATAACATGTTCTTCAAAACAAACCAACAACAAAAGAAAGAATAACGTTTGTGAATTGACACCAACTAGGCACAGATTGTACATCAGTAGGACCACCTGAAGAATGTTAATGAATGCTAGTCAAACTGTCATGCCAAATTAATAAGAAGTATTCTGGCTTCAGAATAAATTCAACAACTCTCAGTGTATATTTATATCATTTATATTATATTAATTATTATTAAATTAACATGAACGATATTATATATTCTATATAAACGCTAGTCCTCTTATCAGTCCTTCTCAATATTGTTCGCGCCCATTTTAACTGTGTTTTGTAGTTGAAATTAACATGTGCGCGATTTTGACAGTAGTGAAAGCATCAATTTTAATAAATGTTAATATGTGGAATTATGATTTTGCAATATTAGTTGGTGAGATACTTTTTTTTTATAAAATAAGAGTAATGAAAGTTACATTATTTATAATATTCTATTTGAAAACATTTAATATTCCTCGTAAGGGCCCAATAGCACTAGTTTAGAATTTGAAATACGTACTTATTTAATAATACTTTATATAAAATTGCCAATCGATTTTTATTTGTTGTATTAATTAATTAAAGAAAATAAAATTAACTTAATTATTACAATGCATAACGTAACTTGAAATAACGAACTTTATCATAAGATTATCTGTGTTTTTTCATTATCATTTCTTATCAGCGTTTTAACAAACATTTCAAATCGATTTTTATTGCAATTTGAAATCTTTTATTACATTATGTATTTTAAACAAAGTTTTTGCCCATTTTATTCTTATGAATTCATATTCAAATATATATTCATATATATATTCATTATATTCAAATATATATTCATATATAAATATTCAAAGATATTTATCCATAGAGTTTTAAACAAAGTTTTGGCCGTTTTATTTTTATCAAATACTCAATCTATCCACAGATTTTTAAACGAAGTTTTGGCCTAACATAGGGCATTAAAATTAAATAAAAATAATTGAAATAACAAGATGTACATATAACAAAAAAGAAAAACTGTTAGTAGTTTTCCGAAAAAATACATCTCTGTGATTTTTAATAAAATAAAAAACGGAGAAAAAATTGAAAGGATTAGACAATATTTGATTGATACAGAATTATTTAAAATATTTACTAGCCGCTATCGGTCGATCAGGATATAGTTTGGCATGGCGACATTTTTAATCGAAAACACATACTGTATGTAATATGATAACATATTCACGACGATTCCAATTAGTATTAAACTATTTTAGGGCCAGACCCCGAAGGTCCTAAAATGTGTCTTAAGCTTTAAAGCGTATTATACGGGTTAAGGTACTATATGTTCCAAAAATAAGCGCATTAAATATAATAATCAATAACTATCATATTCTAATGTATTTTTTTTCGATACTCCAAGTATACCCATTTCCAGCACTGCCGGAACGTACGTTTGTATCTGATCAGATTGATTTGACAGACTTTTTGCATTAGACCATGAGGTAAAAATTTAGAATCGAAAACTAATTAAAATTCTTCGAAAAACAGATCACATGCATTAATACTCAGATCCCAAATTCTAATTAGATATATAATTCTAATTAGATATATAAAACTTACATACCGTTTATACTTTCTCGGCATCTTCCTTCATCTCGCGCCTTAGACACATTTTGTACACAGAAGTCTATGTAATAAGACATAATTTTTAACACAAATTTATTAATATTTTAAAAATACTTTTAGCACATGTATAAATGATTGTTAATAATGCTAAGATAAAAATAAAATGGAAATAGAATAAAATAAAATGGATGCTTCGGTGTTACTGGTTCACAAACAAATAATGTTGTATTACCATTTATGTAGGAAGACGTTCTTGTAAAGCAGACATAGCACTATGTTGGTATTATTTCCACAACATCGTAAAAAGTAAACAAACCACAAACATTATATCATTTGGATGGAAATTTTGTCAAATTTAAATAAAATCTTTCTTATTTATCATTATTTTATTTTACGAACACTTCACTATTGCATATTTAGGTTTGTTACATCCCTTTAAAACTGGTATAAATTGCTATAACAAAATAATAGTTAAAATTGCACTGACAATGGTATTTTTTTCGGTGTTAATCGAGGTAAAATGGTGGGATATTTAAAATCCAGGGAAGTAGGTCATTTCGAATGGAATATTAAAACAAAAATATGTATATATTTAAAAATAAATAAAAACATGTTTAGTTTAATAACTAGCAAATGGTTAAAGATATTATATTTATCATAATAATTTTAATGAATTTGATCAAAATATTTTTATATGCATGGCAATGAAAATGTTCATGGTGTATCTGACAAACTAACACTGCAAAATGTTAAACAACCTTATTGACATGCTAAAATATCTGCTGAACCAGCGAAAGAAATTAAATACCGTATTATATTGCATAATTCTTTCAGCTAATCTCAAACGTATAGAAGGAATTAACCAGGGGCGGTAAACATTTACATCAGAGTTCTAGAAATAAATAAATCTATACAATATATTTAGAGGGGATAGATAAAAATATAAATTTATTTTTTTGCATTTATAGAACTCTGCATTTATTAGCAATGCACTATATTTATAGAAACTAGATTCGTTTATAAAAAATAACAATTTTATTATCACTATTATATACGTATATGTACAAAAATTTCGCTAACAAATTAACAATTGTACATAATTCGAGATCTTATTTAGCAACAAAGAAATTAGTTTATTCCACCTAGGTAATTTGTACATTCAAAAGATATCATTTAAATTTATTGGGAAATTTAACTATAATAATAATAATTGATTTATTTCTTAAAGCTATTAACCCATTATTTTCAAATTGCATGTACACGGTTTTACCGAAATATAAATACATGATTTAATACAAATTTAAGAAAAATATGTAAATTGGTTGTGATGTTATGTGATGAATATGTATAATATATTACTCATTTCAAATTTTGGAAATAGACATGATCTAATTTTTAGGTAATTTGCAATTTTTTAAATTTTGTGAACGATTGTATGTAATAAATAAGATCTCTCAATTTTGAAACTATTTTTACCAAATTTAAAAACCTGCCACGCTGCCACTTCGCCTTTTATCGAAAGCTGCATGGATTTCGTCCTTATATTTGGAAATCGCTGTCAGGGCTGCAAAACCATCGTCTGGTGGTATTTCTGTTGTGTTGTGACCAATTTTTTGTAACCCTTGCAAAATTTCCTATAATAAATAATAATTAAATGCTTTTAACATATTAAACAAAATCCAATAACTATGAATTACAAACCTTATCAAAACCAATTTCATGTTCTATTGTCATTGGAAATAGTTGATGATGCATTCTTTTTGCATCAACTGCGTTCACCAATGTGTCATTGAACCACAAGTGTCTAATTGTCGCCTACATAAGAAAAAATAATGTGACATACATTTTGGCACGAGTAGTTAAAATTAAAATTAAAATGTTAGTTAAGGTCAATTTCACCGTCATTTATTGGATCATGAAAATAATGCGAATTAAGGATATTTTGAAAGATGGCCGAAAACTTACAAAGGCAACGGAAGTTGTAATTTTAGTTCCGCCAGCTGCTCCTATTACTAGTCGAACATCCCCTAAAGAATCTGTGATTATCGTTGGACACATCGATGATAATGGTCGTTTTCCTGGTTCTATATAATTGGCAGGGGAAGGTGGTACTCCGTATATGTTATCTGCATTTGGAATACTAAAGTCGTCCATTTCATCGTTCAAAATAATACCGGTACTCGGAGAGCGGAACATGGCGCCTAATCTATTTAAGAAAGAATTTTTATATAAAAAATGTATAATACATTACAAACCTTACGAATCATTTGATATGAAACGAAAAAATATCAATCAAATTTTATATCTATTTTTTGTTATTCTTTAAATTTTGTCTCGTCTTTCTTACATATAATTTATAGTACTAGTGACAGCTACAGCATCTCCATTAGGTGCAAGGACTGAGACATGAGCAGTACCATGATCTTCGGGTTGGGAGAAGTTTCCTCCATAATACGTCCAATTATTATGAGTTTCCGTATCTGATATTTTATATCTAGTCTCATTAGCTTGCTCAGTAGACGATAATTTCTCAATGTACTAAAAATAAAAAAAACACCAATAAATTGCCAATAACTTCTCTGTTCAACAATAAGTGTTTTTAATTACCTCTTTCATTCCAGGGACAAAATACATATCTCCTAAATTACTTCTTGCTCCATATGCGTGTTTGTAAGTTTCTATAATACGCTGCCAAACTATTGTTTCATTATGTGTATTTTCAATTTGACTACCAGGTAAAAGACCTTTCAGCACTCGAAGTATATACGCCAGTAAAACTCCTGATCCTGGCAGAGAAATTGTATGCAGAACCATACCACCTGGAAGTGTAGCCATAATTGGAGGTTCCCAACGGACTCTAGAAATATAAGTAATTTAGGAAACCCATTACTTTTATTATACTTATTTTTTGTCTCACTTACTTATAGTTTGCCATATCTTTTTCTGTTAAAATGCCTCCTGCTTCAGCAATATCATTTAAAAAGTTTTGAGTTAACGAACCGTTATACAAAGCACCAGAACCTTCTTTTGATATAGTTCGTAGAGTTGCGCCTAATCTTGGCCTTTTTATTCTATCACCTTGTTTGTATACCTCACCAGTATTGGGATCGATAAAAATTTCCCTGAAAAAAATACAGATTGTTAAAATTTTGATTATGATTTTAAAGTGCTTCTTATATTTTCAACTGATATGAATTTTTAACAGTTATTATTAATGGAATACCTAAGAGAAGGTTCAGCTTTAATTTTATCTTCTCTTTTTTTAAGTACGCCAGCAAGATAAGGTGTAACCAAATGACCTCTCCTGCATAAATCTATGGCTGGTTGAAACAATTCTTTCCAAGGTAGGATTCCATAGCGTTGGTGAAGAGCCCAATAGCCTCTTAACTCTCCTGGTACAGCTACTGATAAACCACCTAAAATAAAAAATCACATCGCGTTATATAAATAGTACATTTGAAACGTTTCCAATATTTTAGGTATAATAAAATCTACCTGTCTTGGCCTGACTGGTCTTGTTCTCAAACATATCTTTGAAAGCAGCTCCAGGGGCTATTTCTCTAGCATTCAGGGTTTCTACTAACCCTGTCTTTTTAGTATAAATTGTGAGCAAAAATCCGCCACCGATGCCCATGCTCTGAGGACATGTTATTCCTTCACAGAGCAAAGTTGCTATGGCAGAGTCTGCAGCAGATCCACCTTTCTCCAAAATATGACTAAAAATAAGATATAATAAACCACCTATAGACGACGCTTGTGCAAAAAAGCAAAATTAACTATTATTATTTAGTTTTATTATTTTACCGTCCAATTGCAGCGCATTCTGCTCCATTTGCTGCAACTGCTGCTTTTTGAAACACACCAAGCCGACTTTGTTCGCTATATGTACTGGAATCATCACTGTCTGATAATCCTAAACCAAGTGCAAGAGCTACACAAATTACAACTACTGCAGCAATAAGACAAAGAATTAATTTTCTTTTGTTCGGTTTAGTTCTGCAATAAAAATAATAAATAGATTAAGACATCATTCTAAAAACAACATGGTAATACAGAAGTTAATTACTATATGGTGAAGTCCTACTTTTTGACTTCTCTCTTTATTAATTTTGTTGTTTCAGAGAGTAGCATGATAATAATATGAATTTCAATTAGTCACACAAAATTGAACTCATATCAGTTTCATGATTTATTTATTATTATGAAACTATTAAGATCACGAACTGAATTTATTATTTATGATGAAATAATGAAATCATGTTCCTGATTAGATTTGCTCAAATCAGATATAATCATCCAATAATTAAACAGAAATATTATTATGGTACCTGACTACGTGAGTCAATTCCAATGATTTTTAATTGATAAAAAGTCCGGCGATTTCCGATTTTATTTCTTTTGAAAAAAAGCGTTGTTTGGATTTTGTTCAAGATGCAAGCAAATAATGATAAGAAGTCTCAATTAGTTAGTAAATAATGGAAAAACTTATAATGTACTTAAATACTTCAAATCAAGTGACCAAACTACACAACACACACACACACACATATATATATATATATATATATATATATATATAGATATATATAAATATACATATATAAGAAATATATATTTCCAATCGTCGAATTAAAAAAAGGTTATATCAATATAATTTTAAGATAATAAGATCTTATGTAAAAAAAATCCATGAAAATCTATTGGAAAATTATATGGATATAATTTTCCAATTGATTTTCATGGATTTTTTTACATAAGATCTACTATACATTAATAATTGTACCAATTTGGATAAAATGTAATAAATTTCACGAGGCAAGACAAATCACCATTTAAAGTATATCAGATTTGATATTTATTTTATAAAAATCTGTAAAAACCAACACTATAAAAATAATGATATACGCCTGCATTAATTTTTTGCGCTTAATTATTGTCCTCTGTATGATTTTACGTGACGGGCAATGATTTTCATGAACTGATAAAATATTAACACAAATTAAATCTGTGATACGATTTGCAGGTGTTTAAATAATAGTAATGTTCTCGTGAAGTGACTCAATAAGTTTATCTCAATGACCAAAATCGGAAATTTAGACTCTGATTGATGTTACAAATACAACGATCGGTGCAACCAGAAAATTAGTATTGCTGGTCTTGCGGCCTAGAAAGGTCATAAAAATTTAATTTTTCCAAAACAAGATAAAATTTTACATAACTGTTTACGAATCTCATTACGAAATGAAGATACTATTTGTATTTATTACTATTTATTTAATTTTAATCAATGAAAGTCATGGCAGTGCTTCAAGAATGGACTTGAACAATGTTGTAGAAGTTTTAAGGGAAAGGTTGTTTAATGAATTGAAAAATGGAAATGTGTCGGAAAGCTGTGCAAAAATTATGCCTCATTTACTTAATGCAACAGACAGTAAGTATATAATTATTTCACATTAAACATTATTAATATTAATATTAATACAAATTCATATTTGCCTCTCAAGATCAACCATTGACTGTTACTATTTTTCAAAGATTGCAAGAAGTATTTGTTTATGACTATTATATTTTTTACAGTTTTATGAGAAGACCCATTCCCAGGTTTAATTATATCACTGTTTTAATTATTAATGGTATTTTTTCCATTTTAGTGATAGACGCTTCAAGCAAATTGCAATCAGGAATTCTTTATGGAAATCTGTATAATCTAGGAGAATATGATGAATGTGTCGATGCTAATCATATGACTGAAGATGGATTATTACAAGGAAAATATTGTATGATATCAGTTGGAGTTAATGCAAGTGCTTTTCCTACAGATCCACAGTTGCAAAAGGAGCAAATGCTTAAAAAAATGACCAGGCAATTGGTTACCCAAACCAGGTACATAAAAAAAATATTAGAAAATTCTGCCTTGATTTTGGCTTCTATCTATTCTGTCTATTAATATTATATTCTAATATTCTATCTATTATTTCAGGGATGGTATGATGCCGTCTTTGGAGTTAAAAATGGCTTTATGCATTCCACATGTTTGCGAATTGGAGAATATCACGAATTCTTTAAATTCACTGTTAATGAATATCAATTTGCCTGTAACAATTTCAAATTTAAATTGTAATATTAAAAATAATATTAAGTATAGTGGTGCTGATATTTTTGCAATGTAAGTAATAGTAATAGTAATCATAAAAGATTTAAATTATCGTTCGAATATTTTTGTAACATAACTTGCATCAAGCGGTAGTGATATACGTTTTCACTTGGAATATAGATCTAAATGTAATTAAAAATTTAATCTTGGTTCGAGAGGTAGAACGCTTAGAACGTTCCATGATACCCAATACCTAATATGTTTATCAAGAGGGCAACCCAACGGTCAACCTTTGTTCTTAGCTTTAAAATGTAATATGTTATTACTAGTTAAAATGAAAATTTATAATTTCTAAATTATACAAATGTGGTTCAATATTAAATGAACTTATTTTCTGGTTTATACGTTTTCGACAACATGAAGCCTTGATATATCAAGGTTACTATGATATACAATAGCAATTTTTTATCGTCTAATAATAACATACATTCGTGGGATGACTAATGGATTTGTACAAACTTTTTCACATCATAGCTGATATCAAATCAAACTCAAATTAAATTTATGGATTCAAAACTAATTTAATTTATTGCGATTTGTTTAGAAAGGCAATCTATTTTTTTTAATTGTGCTAAAAATTTGAAAATTAGAAAAACAGAACCAAAAATTTTAAATTTATGTAGCTATAAAGTAAGATCCCGATTAACGCTGCTTTATTTATGGTTGGCATCATGGTAGAATCAGGTTTAGATGAGGTAAATCGATCAACATCCGCGTTAAGCGAGATATTATTGGCTGTAAAACATATACTATTTACACGTGACCTGCCAAATTTCCATGTACACCATATCATATCATATATATATACAAATGGTACAAATTTCAATATATTTTTCTATATTTCAGATTGTTGTTCTCGTTATTTGGAATCCTCCTATTGTCCAGCACGTTGTACGACTTATTGATGAGTAAAGACTATATATTCATCACACTCGATTTTAAAACAAATTCTTCTATCAGCAATTATATTAAATATCCTATTTCAGATTCTTCAAGAAAAAAACCCTTACTGACTGCTTTTTCTATATACACAAATGCAAATCGTTTATTAACTATACATCCTCCAAATAAATCAGCAGATGAAATAAGTTGTGTCCATGGAATCCGAGCTTTGAGTATCTTCTGGGTTGTTTTGGGGCACCGATTTAGTGTTGCTATAATGGGACCCACCATGAATACCACTTATGTGTTTACCAAGGTATACTTACCTACTCCCTTACCAATTAATTTAAATTCTTCAATTATTTTTTTATTTCAGTGGGTACAAAATGTAGGCAGCACATATCTTACAGGTGCTACAGTATCTGTGGATACATTTTTCGTTATGAGTGGAATGCTTCTCACATTTATATTTTTGAAGCAAATGAGAACATCTACTGATTTTAAACCTGCCATGTTTTATTTGCATCGATTTCTACGTCTCACTCCGGCCCTGGCGGCCGTTGTTCTTTTTGAGGCAACTTTGTTAATAAGAATGCGAGATGGTCCATTGTGGGAAACTAATGTAAAAGTATTGAAAAGTACTTGTGAAAAAGCTTGGTGGCAAACATTATTGTATATACAGAATTATTATAATCCTGATGGCATCGTAAGTTAATAATTTTTTATCAAATTTATTGTTTTTATCGACTAGCATTATGTATAAATTATTAGTATCTGCAACATTTGAACTGAATTTATTTAAAAAATCCAATTAGAATACTTAAGATATTCCAATTAGAATATCTATTGCGGCATATGATGATTTTCAGAAATAGTAAATCTTGTTTTCATTTAAATCAAATAATGAATTTAATTGATAAACAACTATTAAGATAATGATTCTTAATTTTTATTAAATTATCATTATCTCGTTAAACAAAAATTATCATATCGGACAAAAGATTAGCGCAACTATGAAAAAATGTGCGTTAATAATGAGAACGATCACTGATAAACACTATGTGATTTGCAAATTTTACAAAAAAAACTTCCTCATGATAATATTATCACCATAATTTGGAATGTCATATTTAAACCGGGATATATAATAAAATTTCTACTTTGTGTATAAATATATTTTACTTAACAGTGGACATCAACGGTGATCAGTACATTTTTACCAAATTGATCAGAATTATTTGAAACGTCCAAAACCCGAACAACGTAAATTTTAACTGCAATTTTATTTCACTTCATTATTCTTAAAATTTCAGGTTCATATTACTAATAATTACATTAATATATTAACCCTTTCCACTCCGATGCCGCCGCTCCGGCGACAAAATACATACAAATTTTGAAACGCCAGAGTGGAAAGGGTTAGGTTGCAACTATATATTGATTCTCATTGAAACTAGACTTGGGATATTTATAACTTCCTAAATTTATTAATTTTTTATAGTGTGTTGGCCAATCCTGGTACTTAGCTGTGGACACCCAACTTTTCTGGATGTCACCATTCATACTTCTACCTTTATGGAAATGGCCCAAAAAAACCCTAATGGCAATAGTTACGTTGATATTCACATCAGTCATAATCATAGCAATAATTTCGTACATAGATGAATATCCTGGAGGTATAATGGATCCGTAAGTAATACTAATTATAAAAAACATCATAGAAAATATTTGGTAATTCAAAAATGGATTGTCTATTTTAGGAGAGACCCTTTCATGCTGAATATGAAATATATATACATGCCGACACATACGAGGTATGGGCCTTGGTTGGTTGGAGTTTTACTCGGATACTTTTTGCATAGAACTAAGGAAGTTAGACTTGATATGAATAAGGTAAGTAATAATTGTAGATTTTTTTACTTGTATTTTGTTGATGGATCCCATCGTGGTGTTATAGTTA